CCCCCCCCGGCTTGTCTGCGGGTGCCTCACCCAAACCCAGAGGACCGTGACTGCTCCAGATAAGCCTCAGGCCTTCAGCTCACCCTCAAGCTCTTCATGGAGCACCTCTGAGCTCGAGGAATTGTTCATGATCAAGTGCAGCTTTCTTCCCCCTCACCACCCCAGCCCTTGTGAAATTCAACAGCAAGGGCCAGATCTCAGAATGAGCCCTGCAAGTGAGAGCTCTTTTTTGGAGATATTTCTGAGCAGCTGCTTGAACAGTCCAGCTGCTGGCCAAGTGGCCGCACGGCACTGAGTCGCAGAGAACAGCAGGTGGTGCGGCTTGGCATCCCTCACCTAGTCTGATTTCGCAGTGGTCTCCGGTCCAGCCCTCAGCGCAGAAGCAGAAGCCGTCGCCATGCAGTCCTCCATTGCACACGCCATTCTCAGTACAGTTACACTCTGTGAGTAATGGATGAAAACACTGTCACGGCATCTGCCTTGGTGGCACTGAAAGGCCACACTCAGGCCGTGGGACAGCCACGTGGCAGAAACATGGCTTGTGTGGGCAGTGTATGCAGGCAGGCACAGCAGCACACACGCGTCCCTTCCTGTCGCTGCCAGCCCTGGCCTTCCCCTGCAGCACCCACCCTTCATGGAGGAGGGGAAGCCTCTCTGCACCCACAAACCCCCATTGTTCCCCTCCCCTGGGCATTTCCAGAGATGCATTTTTCACTTTGAGTCCCTGCAAACTTTCAGCCATCAAAAACATGCCTGGAGACCCTGCAAGGCCCAGCCTGGGATGTGAGGATGGGGGACTCCCTCTGCCTTTGCCTCACAGGGGCACAGGTCCCTGCTGAGCACATCCCAGGAGATGCTCTTTCTGTACAGGGTTCATCACAACATATGAATTTGTCCCCCAGCTCAAAATATGTCATACTGCTTTCTGCCAGACTTGGGGCTCTCAGCTGTGCGTGACAAATGAGAAGGAGTTTCTGATGCTGAGGGCTCGGCACAGACGACCACCAAGCCTTCTCAAACTATAGCTGGAGTAGTTTGAGATGACAAACTATGTTTGCCCAAACGGCTGTCCTGCTGAGAGCCCATGGAGGGATGTCCCCTGGCCCACAGCTCTGACCTGAGCGTTACTGGGACTGATGTATACGTGGCAGCAGTGATTCCCATGCTGTAAGCTGCAAAGAGGTCAGCCCAGCACCCACCCGCTCTCCAGGCAGCACCCCGTGCCGCAGCCCAAACCCTCTGCATTGCTGCCACCCCACAGGCCACGCCGTCTTACCTCGGCAGTCTGGCCCGTATCTGCCCGGCGCACACAGCTCGCAGCTGGTCCCGATGAAAGCCTGGCTGCAGTTGCATCTCCCCGAGCCACCAATTTTGTCGTCGCAGGTACCACGGTTACCGCACGGCGCCTCCAGCCCTCCCGGACACGCTGCAAATGGGGCACCTTAGTGAGGCTGTGGTGACAAAGTGACCTTGTGCTGGAGGGGAGCCACCCACTGCCCTGTGCAGCGGGGTGCTCGGACCACAGAGCCTGCTCGGCAGTGACAATAAACCTTAGGAACAGAGGCAAGAGGGACGAACATGGCACAGCTTCCAGCCTGGGAAGACTCTGCTGCAATGTGCTGAGCCTGTGCTGGCCCGCCCCACGCTAACCTGGCCACAGACTCATCCAAGGATGTGAAAGCTGCCCATGCACAAAGCGCAAGATGCCAGGGAATGGTTGAGTATTGGCAACGTCTCGGGGTGAGTGAGTGACATGTCTGACAGCCACCTCAGCAGCCCTGTTCCCAGGGCTCTCCATGGGGACAAGTGGATCACCAAGGAAAGGAGATGTTACGATATCCCTGTACGATACCATCCACACGCACTCCCAGGGGATCACTCCCTGCCTGGGGTTTTGCCCACCCTTCTCCAGGGAAGCACAGTGATGTCTGTGCTGAACCAGTAATGCCACCTTCCCACAAGAGAAAGGGCGGGGGTGGGAGAGGGTCGGGCGTCTCCTTACCCCGACAGTCACGGCCATAGTGGTTCACACAGCACTGAGGGACCCACTGGGTGGAAATGCAGCTCCTCTTGCAGCCTCGTTTCAGAGGCTCCCTGGAAGAGAAGTGTCTTCTGAAGGAGTCCCACGGGGAGGGTGGCCAGGACGGCCGCAACGGGGAGTTGCGGTGAAACAGAAAAGTGTTTCTCAACAGCTGGTTTCTGTAATAGTAGCAGCGCTTGGTTTGCCCCTGCGAGGAAACAGGCAAAACACAGAGTTTGCCACATTGCTCACTGACGTCCCACCTTGGCTTTTCTTGTGCCGCTCATTCAGTTCTACGACAAGTAACAGAGGCTTCCTAACATGCAATGAGGCTGGTGACAGAGGAGCCACAGATGTACCTCAGGGGCATGCCAGAACCTGGCAGAGAGAGACAACGAGCGATGCAGTGAGCGCGGGGTACAACCCACAGCTGCTCACCATCTGATCCCTGGTCCACCTCCAGTGGCTGAGCCGAGCTCTTTCGCTATAAAGCACCCAGAGAAGCACCCAGCGCTGCTGCAGGGATCCCTGCAGCCACTGTCACCCATATGGGCATTGACCAAGCAAAGACCATTGGAGCCCCTGACCCCATGTTGCTCAGCCCAGCTCCTGCCCTATGGGACCGCGTGACTTGGGGCAAGGCATGGACAATGCGACCGAGCCGAGGGAGTTGCCACATGCAGCTGTGCCTTCATCTTGTTGCTAAAACATGAGGGGCGCGTGGGTGTTGTCATCAGCCCCACAACAGGCCTACTTGGTGACAAATCTGTGAGCTTTACCCGTTGAACGGAGCCAGCAGGGCAGGGTGGCTCGAAGCCACAGAGTCCACAGCTCTCTGTAGATCCCTGTGGAGGGGAGAAAGAAACCTCACAATAACTCAATATGTGCTTCTGCCTCTTTTGGCTGCTTGGAGCTTTGCCGAGGAAGACCAGCAACCACTCCCGACATCCCTTTTCCCAGGCATAGGGCTCAACAGGTGGCACAGATCCTCACTGACCTCATCGCAAGTGCTCACCTGCAGCTCAACAAAGATGAACTCATCACACCGAGACCCCAGATCCGGTGGCTCCAGCAGCCTATCGATGCCATAAGCAATGCCCCCATTGAATTCCATGTGCCTCTGGATGATGGTGGCATCGCCGTTCCCCACCAGAAGCTCCCCCTACCAGAGGAAGAAAGCAGCTTGTGATCCTGGCACATCCTACATCCTGGCGGCACCACCCAAAGGTGGTCCTTTTTGGCTGTCGTGACTTCTCAGTCACCCCTTGTGTCCTTAAGCACCCTTCCTGACTGCCACTTTTCACAGCCATCTCTCCTAAGAAATGGCCTCTGTCCATGCAACACGTGCTCAGTAAAGGTTGTGCCACCATGTGGTTGGCTTCACAACCTGGTCACCGTGAAGTGCATGTGCAGGTACCACATGCCTCCGCGCTTTCCTGCCAGCTGGCCACAGGCTCAGCTGCAGCCAGGGGAATGGGGTGCCTCAGCCTGCAAGCACCCCAACTCTGTGCTCACTTCCTGCCAGGCACCAACCTGGAGCATCAGCTGCCCCGTGGCTATGCCCAGGGACAACTGCTCAGTGGGAAGCAGAGCCCAGCATCACCGTCACTCACCACGTGGGTTTTGCTGCACCTGAACGAGACAGTGGAGCCATGCATGGTCCGTATGGATTCGACTTGGGGCACGTTACCAGCCACAATCTAAGAGGGAAAAAGGAGAATATGAAGGGAGAGACAGGCAAAACTGGCAGTTCATACTTCTAATGGAACGCTGCCTGGCGAGGACAGGGGTCAGCAGCCACACTGAGAGGGGGTGTGACGTGGCAGCACATGAAGCTGGTGTGGGTGGAACAGTGTGACTACGCTGGGTTAGTCCCAGATTCCTGAACAGTGAGAGGCCAGCGTGAGTAACAAGACCCTGGTTTTGCTCAGCTGGACTCTTCCCTTGTTCATCACCCCTGCAGACAAGAGCCTGTTTGTGAGCTTTGTGTTGACCCTCTGGGGGTGATGTGGCCTCCCCAGGAAGCTGATGATAGAAGGTCTCAGCTCAGCCACACTGCACCAGAGGTTCATGATGAAGCGCGAGTTGCCTCAAATGCTCAAACAGCTTTGGGTCTTCTCAAGACAACTAATATGCTGCATGTTCTACAGCGGCAAAATATTGGGCAAGGTTGCTCTGGAGTAACCACAGGCAGGTGGTGGCACCACATGTGGCCTCGGGAGGTAGGAGCCTGTTTGTTGTCACATTTACCTTTGTGTCCCTGATCATGTGTGCTTTGAGGTAGGAGGCCAGCACATCCCGATGCTCTCTGCGGTACAGCCACTTCTGCCTTTTCTCTGAGAGGGCATTAAATGCAGCATCTGTGGGCCACAGCATGGTGAAGGGTCTATGCAGGGGGTCACTAATCAGTGGAAGCAGCTCCGCGTCCTGTCCGAGACAAGAGGGGATACAAAGAAGCAGCCCCAAGCCAAAACTGAACATGCACACGTACACACCACCTCTCCAGAGAGCAGCAGGAGTCTGATCGCTCACCTGCAGGAGCTTGCTATAAATGGTGTAACCAAAGGCCTCTGCCACTTCCGTGATATTTTGCTGCAGAGGGAAGAAAGCAAACAACCGTCGCTATGAGGTCCCCCTTCAGGGCCCGCAGCAGCAATGCAGGGGAGAAACCAGACAGTTAACAACTACAGTAGCTAAACTCGACAAATTTATCTCTGTCATCACCATGCTGATGGCTTTGGCCTGGCAGGTGCTGGCATTCAGCAGCCACCGCTTTTCTGATTCATTCTGGGTAGATGCTGCTATGGCAAGAGCTGGGATGAGTTTCAGCACTCTGTTGTGCTGTACAGAAAATGTGTTATTTGCTGTAAGATGCAGGAGCTATAAGCTCCTCGCGCTTGTTTCAGGAGTACCAGAGAGACACTGGCAATCTCACACTGCAGTCTGCTCTGCACTGGAAAAGAAGTGTGATGGTTTGCAGGGGACATGATCCCCCTGCCTACATCCAGTACTGTTGTTCCCCAGTGATGAATCACAGCTCTGGTCCCAAATATTGCTACATCACAAACACTGTCACCTTCACACGCTGAATCCGTGCCCTCAGACATGCCCTACACACTGCCAGGAACAGGAGGAAGGGCACCTCACACAGCCTGGGGCTGAGGGTGCGAGTGGAGGGCTTATCAGCGACAGCACTATCAGAGCTGTTGGGAGAAAGATCTTAGCCCTGTCCTCACCACGGCAGTTACCTGAGCACAGTCACTGCTTCAGCCTCACCTGAGAGATCTTTGAGGAAATGTTACGGTCCATCAGGTCACTTGGAATGAGGATCTTGTTGATGAAATGAATAACTCCATTCACACCAACGATGTCACTCGTGACCACTTTGGCCTCCTCATCGAGATAGATGCTATTCTGAGAGAGAAGGGATGCGATGAGGTATTCCCACCCACAACACTGCCCTATAAGCCACCTGCGAGCCCTAGGCAAGTTGTTTGCCACAACCACAGTGGCCTTCAAATGACAGCAAAAGTGACATCCTGACAAGTGGGACAGGGAAGGGAACTGTAGCAGAGATTTACCTCTTTCACTGTGATCTTTATTTTGTGGCCAGATAAAGATGTAAGGGATGCCTGGGCTTCCAATTCACTGGACAGCAGTTTCTGGCAACCCACCATGTGGTAGCGAAGCAGGTCCCGGAGGAGACCTCTGCTCCTCCACTCCTCAAACTACAGAGAGAAAACAAGAATTAGATCACACTGGGAGCACTTTGCCTTGCGGGGGGAGAGGGGGGACACCCAGACCTGATGAGGAAGACCTGGATTGCCCAAGCCCCCTCTGACCCATCCCTGCAGGAAAGCCAGTCCCCCCAAGACTGCAGTGAATGCACAAAACCATTTGAGAGATTTGGGAAATTTCAACCAGCTTGACAAAACCAGCATTCAGGTCTCCTGATGGAGGGCAAACGACCACATTGGCCTTGAGGAAGAGACACCTGGGATATGTGGTCATTGGGAATTGTTCCTTTACTGGGTGGATGGGGGGGCCCATGGGAAAAAGGTTGGGACGAGTGATGTGAAGCTGCTCAACATGACTTGTGAGTGATGGTATTAGGATCTTCCATTACAGCAACACCAGAAAGCTGTTGGTCAGGAACCTGTCTGGTTTACAGTGTCATGAATAAGGATCTCTCCTGCCTCATGTCTCCACTTGCCCCAGACATCCCACTCATTGGGACTAGAAGGAAGGGACCATCAGAGATGCTGTGAAGCCTTGATGTTACCAGTCCCTAACAGCCATGGGTAACAAAAGTCACCACGCATCACTGATTTGGTTTCTAAGGTCCATGAGGCAGGGGCTCCAGTAAGGGCCTCCTGAAGACAGGAGCCATGTCCACCCCTGCCCAGATTGTCTCTGTAGTGAGCCGCCATCCACACCTCTGGTCTTACACTGATGGACAACAGGGGATGCCATTAACCCTCTGCTGTGCAGCCCCTTTGCTTCAGTTCACTGGGCAGAACTGCCCCAGAGAGGACATTGCCATGCCTGATGCTTGCCAAGCACCTGACAGCGCTTGGGATGGGAGGACACTTACCGTTGTGGTGTTTGCTATGAAATCTGTCCGTGGGACAAAGACAGTGAAAGGCCCTGCCCCACTGAGCTCCTTGATGTTTTCTGCCTGTGGTAGAAGAACATTTGTGGGAAGGGAAACAGAAAACACTGTTCCAGTTAGCAAGACCCTTTGCAGAAAACCCTCAGTGGGATTTACTACACAGAAACAAGGACAAAGCTGTTTGTCACTAACCAGTATCATCTTAAAGAACACGGATGCGTCCTCGATCCTTCCAAGCTCCTTAAACAAAGAGAAACAGCTGGTGTTAGCAGAGTCCCTTCCACTTGTTCCTGGCCAGTCAGCACGGTGACCTGCTCCTTCCACACCAGGTCACTCTCCCACACCAGTGAGACACCGGTTCTCCTGATACACCACAGCAATCTTTCCCTCCCTCCCTTGCCAGCACTGCGGGCACAGATGACTGGAGGTTACAAAGCAGGCAGTGAGCTCTGCCTGGACCATTCACACCACAGATGCTGCAAGAGAGAGGGCAGAGAGATGAAAGCCATCTGCTTCTGCAGCAGCTGACTCATAGGTTGAACCTCCCCTGTGCTCATGGGACACCCTGATTGCTTCACAAAACATCTGCTTTAACCTGACTGTATTGCCACTACCAGTTCTGTGGTGCTGTCCAGAGTGGCAGATATAGGCTTGGCAGAGCAAGCTCCCTCTCCTTGCCACACTTCAGTAAGAGCAGAACCACAGAACTGAGTCCATCTCTTTTCTCCTGGCTCTGCTGTGGCCATGACAACTTTTATTTGCTGCTACCAGAAGAGGTCACCAGTTTGCCCAACGACAGCTTTGCTGAATTGGCAACAGAGCCAGAGACGGATTGTTGCCCTCCAGACTGGATCCCAAGTCCTGGCACAGCCACAGGGAACACCTGCCCTGATCCCACAGACCAGGAGAAGTGGGTTCCCTTGGGGGAAAAAAAAATTACTCCCATTTGTTTGTCATATTAAGAAAACAGCACTCTGGAGGTATGGCAAATGCTGCCGACAGAGCAGCATAGTGTTCACATCCCAGGTCCTTTTGGAGCAAGGTCGCTTTCCTGTGATTCTCTGCCCCAGCTGACACCCCAAATACACCTATGATTTATGGATAGTTTGCCTCAAAGCACCTGTCTCCAGTCCTACACCACACCTGTGTTGATATGGTACTACAGGTCTGCTCACCTGCAGCTTACGCTTGGAGGAGAGGGAGCAGTTTGCTGCAGGGCAGGGGCCCAAACACAAAAGATGCTGTGCATGCTTCTCACCTGATACACTTTTCCACGGCAGGTGAAGCCATCTCCAACACTGTGCCAAGAGCAGGAGCAGTTTCGAGTGCCAGGGCCCGTGTACTTGCAGACCCCAAATGGACTACAGCCTCCGTTGTTCTAGCAAGAGATGCGAAAGGCTTGCATGGAGGGGCATCACCAACAATTTGAACAGCCACTTGCATGAGGGAGCTGCTAACTACCTCCAGTCCAGTGGAAAGGAAACCATTCCTCTCATCTGTGTAATGCCTTAGAGTAAACCTCACCCAAATCTTCACGGGCTTTTCAGCACCAAATCCATCCACGAAGCAAGACTTTCGCACTTTCCTTTGGAACTCAGTGATGACAAAATCATGCCATGAATCAGAGAGAGATTTTGACATGACAGCGATGCCATGAGCACAGATTACTTTTAAGTTTTTGAGGATGTTCCACACAAAATAGATGCAGAAAAAAAAGCCCACATGCGTCCAACCCTATGTCCCTCTTTCCACACTGCTTCTCCCACAAGTGGGAGCACCGGTTTGCCTCTTGCAGGTCATTGCAAGAGGCAATGCAAACAGAACACACTAGGAAATCCCTTAGGAACGCAAAAAGGCAAGGCAGCCAGCTCTAACCTAGGCTAACCCTATTCTTGCTGTTAACTGTTGGGAGAAAGGGATGCTTCAAGGCTGTGGCCTTCACCCCTGGTACTAGCAAAACGCAGACTTACCTGTTCACACAAGTTGATGGGGTTGCACTGGCTCACGCCATCCCCACTGTAACCAGGAAGACAGTTGCAGGCAACCTGGAAGGAGAACAGATGCTCAGTCTGAAACTTGAACCCAGCAAAGGAAAATAGGCGATGGCTGAACTGGATGGAAAGCATGTGGTATAGCATCCATCGCTACGTTCATGTATAACCATGCTTGTGTCAACAGTTATAAACCAAGACTGCCTCCAGCCTCTGGCCAACAGAAGGCATCTGCTTTCAAGGAAACAGCAATCTTTCGCGCCCTTCCCAGGCAACTTTTCTATGTGGAAGGTAATAAGCCCAAGGCAGTGCACTGCCATGGAAAGGATTGTCTGAGGACTACACAGCTGTGACAACCTCCATAATAATGTTGCTCTGACATCCATCTTACATACTCACCTTCCTTGGGCCTGTTTTAACGCACTCCGCGTTGATGTGGCAGCCCCCGTTGCTTTCGAGACAGAGATCAATTTCTGCAGCAAAACAGTAAGAGCCACATTATTGCTGAGGGCTGCTCAATTCAGGCAGGAATTGGTGACCTGAAGAGGTCTTGGGAAACTGATAGGGAGGATCTTCCCAGCTTGAGAAACACTTTGGCGGAAAAGCGACTTGTGATAGCAAAGGAATAGGGTACAACTGCAAGTTGCAAGTTCTACTCTTCCCACATGCGGGTCTCTGAGTTACAATAAATCTGCCCACAGAAAATCCCATGCCTGCCTGTGTGTGCTTTAAAGGGTACGAGAGGACTGCACTCTCCCACAGCTCCATCTTCATCTCAGCACCACCGTAGGTGACTGCCCTCACCCTCTGCCTCTGGACCTGTCCGCGATATGCATCAGGGCAAGAAACCTCTCTGGGCTCTTTTGGTTTGAGACCAAAACACTGGTCTGCAGCCATCCAGCGAGACAGGTGCCAAGGGCAGCATGGGCTCCCTGCCCAGTTTCAGGTGGCACTGTGCTGGGACAGGGGCGACTACTTCACTAACCATGACTTGGCAGAATGCAGAGCGCATACCTGCAGGTATATACGTACACAGGTATGCGTGCATGCACCTCGACAAAAGCAGAAAGACAGTTGAATCAAGATCAGCCAGCAATTATTTGCTTTGAAATAATCACTGCATGAACAAAGTGGAAGAAAAATTGAGTTATTCAACACTTTAACCTGAAATTTTAATGCTTTTAGTCTGAAATTCCCCTTTGCATGGATGATGCCTCGCCACTGTCACCAAAACATCCACTGAGCACTCACCCATGCAGAGCGTCCCGTCTCCAGCGTAGCCTTCCTTACAAACGCAGGTTCTCTCTCCTGGGGACACTTTAGTACACACAGCGTAGATGGAGCAGCCACCATGATCGATAGCGCACGGATCTATTTCTGTGACCACAAACGAGAGAGGCAGAATCAGCTCAGAGCATCTGGGAAAGATGAACTCTGCCAGAATGATCATCCATCTTAACAAAAAACACAACATCTTACTAAAATCCCTTTGTTTCAGATGAAACTGTAGGTCCTTTAAAGGCATGGGGCCTCATCCGAGTCTGAGAGAGGCCGGTCCAAAAGTCATGCTGAGCTTAAGTAACCGCCAGATTGGACTAAGAAGTCTTTCTGTCACAGCATTTTTTCACTGAGGATGAATGGTTAGAGGAGAAAAAAATATTTTCCTACATAATTTTTTTTTCTTTTTTCCTCCTCACTTATTTTCAAACAAGGGTGATACTGAAAGGAAACTGTGATGTCTACCAGTGTGTTGACTGTTACAGTTTTATCACTCTGAGTGTCTTATTCTTGTCTGTTTGCTTTTGACACAGACCATGTTTGTATGCAGCTCTAGAGCAGTATCCTAAAATCCTGCCTCATTTTGGCACAACTGCTGCACTGTTTCTACCCTTTTGGCATGGCCAGCAAATAAGAGCAGCACAAAATTCTGGGGAATTGAAGCATCCATATTCCAGGGATTCATAGCCAAAATTGCTATATCTTTGTCACCATTGCTGTGATATCAGAACCTATTCATGTGCATCTCTCTCCACAAGCAGTAAGAACTGCTCTGCTACCCTTGCCTGCCTTTTTATCCCTCTCTTGCAGGCTCTAGCAACATCAAGAGCATCCCATGTAAAGCTCTGAACTGGAAAACCACTCTACCAAAGCATGGCAGAGTTCATGGTGAATGGCTGAGAGGAAAAGGACTTGACTGATCTTTCCCCTGGCAACATCATCCCATTTATTTCACAAACAAAGCCCTTGTCTCTGTGTAGCCTCAGCAGATGTTTGCAAGCCTTGAGTCTTGCCCGCCCTTGCTGGACATACCTGTGCAATGGGTCCCATTCCCTGTGTATCCAGCAGAGCAGAAGCATGTAGGTGGGGAATCTGCAGAGCTATTGAGGCAGCTGAAACAAGAAAGGGATAAACAATCACTGACGACACCTCCGGATTTTCTCAGCCAGTGGGAAACCCTACACAAGCCTGGCATGTGCAAGTTAGAGTCCACACTGACCACAGGAGGAACATGCCTGAAGCTGCTGTGTATTTCTTTACAGCACCAAATACTCAAGTCACACTGGCCAGGGAGCTGGCAGCCAGGCACAGGCTTCACACCTCGCACAGTGCACCTTCACCATGTCCATGTGCTTCTGCACGGTGCAATGGAGATGGCTGGGTCCCGGTACCGCAAAATAGGAGACCAGATAATGGATGGAGAAGGAAGTAACAGGGAGTCATCAGAGCCCATCACCCAATGTCATTTAACTCCTTGGTGGAAGAAGACAAGGCAGAAAGGGCTTGTCAATGGCTAATTGATTCGCTCCATGAATAAGGCCAGACTTGGAGTACCTTGGAGTCTCTGCTTTCTCCCATCCACACATGCAGAAGGAACTTGGAAATAATTCATGCTCGAGCAGACAAAAACCTCAGGAAAAGTGCATCTGGCTTAGCACCAAAGCAAGTTCCCAGAATGGAAATGACATTTATGCACCTTTAAGGAGCAGGCACCTCCTCCCAGCCCTCTGTGAAGCCCTAAACAGAGAACCACCTCTATGTAAAACACATATAAACATACATGGCTTTCTCAGAATGACCCAGCCCCTTGTCTGTACTTACTTGGCCATTTGATGACAAGTGTTATTGCATAAGTCAATCTCGATTCCTGCAAGAGAAAACACAAATGGTACTTGGCATTTTCAATTTAGCACTTGCTGGGGACATTTCTGCCATCTAGAGTAAAGGACTCTGCAAACAGTCTCGCTGCCACACTTGTGGTGCCCTGACTGATGATGGGACACAGCAGCAGTTGTGCTAAATCTCACATCCTACATGGCAGCAGGAAAACCGCATGGGATTTACCTTCTGGCATTTTGCAATGGAGTGAATTCCATGTTCTCTGCCTGAGCTAATGGTTCCATTTTATGCTACCTGCATGGCCTCCACATTGTTAGGAATGAAACAAGGACTGAAACCTCGTTAATCCAGACATACAGGGCCATTTGGCTTTGCCCCATTTGAAGGAAAAAGATTAACTTCCTTCATGGTCTACATTTACACTAGACCGGACAGCTCCACCCAATTTCCATTTCTAAAAGCCCCCAAAATACTTCACTACAAAATCAGTCTTTGTGTGAAAACCTTCAAAATCCCAAATTATTTAGGAGCTCATGTTCCCTCTCAGCCCGATGGTAATCCTAATCCCAAATCCCAGGAACAACCATCTTCAACATATTACTTTGTCACACAATGACAGATTTAGAACTGCAGACCATGGCCTGAGCTCACCTAAATCAACAGATCTTGTGAGCAGAAAAAGCAACTCAGCAGAAACACTAGGGCCCTTTGGAGGCTTCAAAATCAAGCCCTGCCACCTTCTTAGGCAAGTAACAGGAGTGGTGGTCAACTCAATCTGGCTGGGAGCTTCCAACTCTCTCCCAGGGCAAGGGGCTGTTCTTGAGGTGCCTCAAATCTCAGTGAGGACAGAAGCAGGTGATACGCTTTTCTCTACATGAATTTCAGCCAAATAATTCCAGGGCTCATGTGCAGTTGGTGAAGTCACACCACAAAGCAGCTCATGTGCAGGAATGAGCTAGCACAGTCTGATAAGCTGAGGGATGCAAAGCATATGCAGCTGTGGTCACCTTGCTCAGCTAGCACCAATTTCTCTGCCACAAAGGCAGTATTACACCATGGGGCCCTTCACACTCACTTACTTTGTCGACAGGTAGGGCCCTTCCATCCCGGGAAACACTCGCAGCTCCCATCCCCTTGCAGTCCGTCGTTACATATGCCATTGTCACAGCCACATTCTGCAGAGGAAATACAAATATCACTGTCAGACCAACCAGGTCTCACAAGCAGAGTCTCGCTGCCATTTCGCTCCCTGCTCTGTTCCTAATGCACTGCATCAATCTGCCATTAAAAAAAAAAAAAAAAACCACAGGAATATCTCCTCTTGTTTCCTTGCTACTAGGCCAAAAAGCCCAGGAACAGACCACCCACCTTTACTTCCTATAGTCTGGGACGCAGCAGGATGAGTGGCACAGCACAGTCAGTCACGCCTGGGTTTGAGGATGAAAAATGGAGCCACTCCTGGCTGACCACAAGCGCTTACTCCCACTGTCCCTCTCTCGGTGGCCTGCCAGCCATTTGCCTGTCTCGAGGTCTTGGGACATTTCTTGCCTCCCACCACCTCTCCTGAGACGTGACCACTTTTCTCCCCTTGCAAGCAGGATGGCAGAGACAAGCTGCAATAGCCTTTAGTGTCACCTGATTTGCAGTCAGCTCCGTATCGTCCCACTTCACACATTTCGCAGGCTGTGCCATGGAAACCCTCCAGGCATCGGCACTCTCCACTGCCCTCCATGCCATCCTGGCATTCCCCATTCCCGGAGCACCATTGGCCTGGCTTCCCTGGGCACATCTCGCACATGTGTCCGTAATAGCCGGGGCAGCAGACGGACCTCTGAGAAACGAACAAGAACAGGTCGGGTGAGCCATCTTGGGCAGCACGGATGAGGGACAGCTTGACTGGGGAAGCTGCTCTACTCCTTTAACTATGTGATTGCCATCACTTCTGACAACACGTGAAAAGGACCAGATGCATGCAGGCAGGATGGAGTGAATCCCCCAAATGGGGTGCTCTGTTGCCCAGAGCCTCATGTAAAGGTCTGCACTGCCACTTGAATAACACTGACCATTTGGTAGCACAAATGTTCAGTCCTGTGCCCATCCAGCCTATCTCCTGCCTGTGTCCCATCAGGAGACTCTGTTGGGCAGAGAAAGGCTCTGCCAGAAGGTGATTTGGTTCAAAAGCCTGATTTAACTCTTCTCATTTTTTTCTGCATCTACCTACAGAGGGAGGCAACCATGATGGGACCAAGTCGGACAGTACAGATGAAGAGAAACATCATCCAGCAAAGGAACGCAGAAGTGCCCAGTGAGGTACAAATGCTGACTAAAGTTCTGCCTGTGGGTACAATATATCCAACTGCCTGTCTCCCTTCTCCTCAACCTCCCATTCCCACCAAAGTTTCCAGGGAGACGCTTCAATACCTGTAAGAGCTCAAATTCACACAAGTCTTTCTATTACAATTTCCTCTTCAATTGTTTTCTCCCAGCCACACATTTTGACAGAACTGGTGGGGGCCATAATGACTGCGAGACCTTCTGCTCCTCGCTTTGGTTTGGCTCCAATTAGTCATCAGTTATTCAGGAAGGCACATGCACGAGCAAAATACCATAATTCACGTCTCATTTCCTTAGGAAACCAGACTACAAACATTCAACTCCTTCTCTTCCTCTGCAGGACAAAACCCAAAGTAACAACACCAAAGCAGCAGACCACAATCCATCACTGTGCAGGCACTTCCGCGGTTTGTTTTTTCTCCAGTGCCCTCTATCTCCAGGATGGAGAGCGACTACCAGGCAAGCCCAGGCTCAGCTACACAATGGCACAAATGCAGCCGGGGCTTCAGGACAGGCTGCGTTTCCTTGGCTGTATTTCTAATACTCATCTTGCTTTTGTCAAAATGAATACGAGGCAAATGTTTTTCTTACCAGAGAAACTTTTGCACAGGTGAAATGGCAGCCAAGTGTTCCTGTATCCCCAGAGCGTAATTCACAGCGAGCGAGGTTCTTGCTGCCTGGCAATTCCTGCAGATATAATTAACATAGACACAGACAGAAGATATTACAATATTTAGACAGATTGTATGTTTTGGCGCATATGGCAGTGTTCTTGCCTAACAGAGGAATAATGCTTTTTATCCTACAGGAACAGCCCTAAAAATTTGGCTTTCCCAGAGCTGAGACCAATGAGGTATCTCTAGATGTGAGGTCACCACATGTTGTCTATTTTGTTACCTGCCAAATTCATGGTATACATGACAGCGTGAATACTGAGAAAAAGGAATCTGAAAATGTTTGACATAAAGTAATGAAGCCTAAGATGCCAGATGTGGCTGCTAGATAATTCATAGCCAGCATAGAGATGAAATGTTTCGTCCTTTTCCTTTCTGGAAACATTTGTCACTCACTCACAAACAAACTGCAGGCACAATCAGCCCATCTGTGTGAATAAATCAATGGTTTGGGCCGGGAAATCACTATTGGCACCCCTAAACTGGCTTTCCTTGACAATAACATCAAAAGAGTAAAGATCAAAAAAGACACCTCTTTTTTTGCCCCCAAGAGGGGAAACTCCCCACACTGCATGCTCTAAAGGGCTCCTGAAATTCAGGCAAAGCCTGATGCCAGCCCTGTAAGGAGCCTCATGGTTCACATTTGTCTTTTTCCTGTGTAAACCTCCCTTGGTGTCCTCTTTCTCTTACAAACCTTGCTAATTAATGAGCCACAGAGAATTCAAGGGCACATTTTTTTCAAGTATCAAGATGACATCTACAGAGCAATAAAAGGACATCAAAGCACTATCTGTAAACAGTCTGTGAGTTGTCACATGAATCAAAGACTCACCACAAGAACTGATCCAAGAGGACACTTGATCCCCTTCTCACACCTGCCGCATCTTGACTAGGGCACAGAGAACAGGACAAGTCACATGTGTGCCCTTTTACTCACGTCACACCAAGACACTAATCTTGAATTACAAATGGTGCTGTACAGGCTGCTGGCTGGGACAAAGATGTATTTATCTCCATGCCTCAAAACACCAGAAGAAGAAAAATCATGATGCATGACCCTCAGGTCCCAGCTGCTATCAAAGGCTTCACACAAGGTCTTCTTTCTGCACTTCAGTAGTGAACACACGGTCTTATTTCTGCACTCCAGAGACCATACCACAAAACAAACCAGAAGAGATCCCATGTTACACCTCTTCTGAGTCTCTGAGCTGGGGTAGGGCTTTCTGCAGGCCTGCAGTTCCTTCATGCAAGGCTGCAAATGCTTTTTTTCTGATCTGTGAGAGGGCAGGCCTGCCTCTGACCCTGCAATCTTCAGATGGCCAAGAGCCACAAGATGCATGTGGGCAGGACTTTGGCCATGACTCCCAGACAGACCGCAGCATTTCCTAGGGGAGCTTGTGGTCATGCCATGCAAGAATTGGGCTGGATTCTGCCTGCACAGCTGAGTACCTGGGAGTCCCTACACCAGCCTGCCCCATGGTTGACACTGTGAGAGAGACCCAGCAAGTGAACTGAACGTGATTTGCTTGGGAGCTACATACAGCACAAGAGCTGCAGATCTGCTGCATTAGAAGTACAGAGTCTGGGGCAAGGAAGTGCCAAGTCTCCAAGATGTCCCATTTCACGTGAGGCTCATCTGGGGTCACACCACAAGCTATTGACTCATCCATGTATAGGATGTATAGGTTTTCTGCTATTCATCAGTTTGGTTCAGCAGGTGGAGAAACCCTGTGAAATGGTGGTCAGTTCCTCGGCAATCATCATTACCTTTTGTATGGTGGTAGTATTGGCAGTGCAACGATTCTTCTGTGTCTGGAGGACCTGTGAAACCCCGATCAACATGCCGTTCTCTGTCTCAAGAAATTTTCCGTCCAAAGGAATATTATTGACAAACTTCTGCAAAGGAGAAGGAAACAGCTGCGGTGATAACCTTCAACTCCATTTGCATGGATTGCTTGACAGCTGCCAGACAGCCACAGTAGGAAAGCTGTAAGAGTGTCCAAAACAGACATGGGTGAATCCAGCCACCAGCCTTAGAAAGTGATATGTCTGGCCAGATCCTCAAATGGCAGAACAGTCTTCCCTCCTTACCTGGGTGCTGTTTTGATAAAACATTAGCCAGTAGGAGAGCCCTAACATGCTGTTCTTATGGATTCCACTTCTCAGGTCTGTGGGCGAGAGCTTCTCTCCCAGCACAACGTGGTACTGCACTGTCTCATTGTCCTAAATTGGCAAAAAACCCCAAATGTTAGGACTCTCTTGACTTTCTAGACGACAATTCAGTCAGAGGTATGGCATGAGAAGGGTTCCTAAGCAACCTGTAACACCTAATTAAGCCCACAGAGCCCAGTAACTCCCTATCACAGATGACTGATCACACCTGATGACTCTGTTACTGGATGAAGTCATAAATGGTTTTTGGAACCTTTCAAAAGGTTCAAAATTGCCACAGATATGCCACAGCCAGCCAGAAAGAGGAATGTGTTGTGCCCATCTATCCACATTCAAATCCACTAAGAAAGTTGCATCTGGAGTCCAAATATTCTTTTCAGATTCATTGCAACACTCCAGGAACCTTCTGATTTCTCTCTGCCACAATTCTCCTAGCTTTTAGCATCAGATATGCTTCTCCTCTCCACGCTCAAATTCACTGAACTGAAGTTTATGATCTGACAGTGTACATGTCCCTGCACCTACTCCAATACTTATTCAAACTGTAAGCACGCTGTGAGCTTACCAGTTGTGTCACATTGGCAGCATGGCAGTACTCCTCAATGGAATTATTTCCGGGAACAAAAATGGTATATTTTTCAGAGGACTCGATTTTTCCAATGAGCTGGTATTCCTAAAAAATGTCCAAACAGTAACATTAGCAATTACACTTGTACTTGCTAAAAAGAAAACCACACATTAAATCAATTACAAAGGCAAGAGCGCTAGAGGAAGTGCTTGAAAATGGGATATACAACTTCCACTCAGTCACACACACCTAATTGCTTGCTTCTCCTCCTGGGCTGACATAAGTGCAGCTTTGTGACTATGAACGAGCCTTCCTTTAGGTTTCTCAGCCCTGTACAAGCATGAGAGCACCTGCAGTAGACAGGTCATCTTCCACTGTAATAGCATGCCAATGACACGGAGATCTAACTGTAAGTATAAACCCTGGCTGCTCAAAAGAGCTTTCCTAGAAGGACACTCTGGAATGGTAGGAAACAAGTGATCTCTCTTGTCTCACCAGGCACTCCAAATTTTGGCCCACCAGTACAGGGTAAGTCAGGCATTTGCTCAAAAGACAGTTCTGACAACCACAACAGTGCTCACGTCAACTGCTTACCTGTAACAACTCCTTGAATGTGCTGAATGAGGCAACTGTCTCAAGCTGTTTCCGCAGACCTGGAGGACTTGTTGGGATATCTTCTGCAGGCAGCAACAAAACCTGCAGAAAAAGCAAGTTTATAAGCAAGGTTGGACAAGGAGCTCTGGGGGAAAATCACACTAGACTCTTGCCCTGCTTGCAAGAAAGGCAATTGGAAATGGTCTCATTTTACACAATTCTGCAATAGCCTTAACTCTCCTTCTGTCAGCTAAGAGAAGAGGAACTCCCCTCCCGCTTGTCCCGGAGACAAATATTTTAAACATTAAACACTGCTGCACAGGAAACATCTGTCAGGACCTTGTGATAACCAAATATATTTTTGCCATTATATCCCTTCCTAACCGTCCAGACATGTATTCCTCCTTGGCCCCATCACAGATGTCGCAACACAAACCTGCTGTTACAGCTGCAGCATTTCCCAGTATCACATGTACCGACGTACCTTACTGAGGACATGAATAATGCCGTTGCTTGCAGGGATGTCACTGACGACTATACTCACATTTTGGATGGTTAATACCTGCAAAAGCATCAGAGGGAGAAGCAGAAGGATTAGAAACTGCCAAGCAAGTTCAAAACAAATGTATTGTTTGTTCAAGATCGCACGTGATTGATCTGGGTACAATTTTCAAAAGATGTCTTGAGTTTGAGGGCATCAGTGTCCCACCCAGGCTCCCCACCAGGTACAGCAGCTCTTAAGCAGTTTAATTTGATCCCGGTACGTGTGCATTATGTAAGAAACCCTTACGCCGCTCCTGGTGTTTATCTGCCATCTGGTCTGTGGGTTGAGGGTGGGTAATTCTGGCCTGTCATACTCTTTGAGCTTTTCAACGGTGAAGGCGCCTTCAAGAAAGTGGGCCCTGAAGGGAACAAAGGCAGGTAAAAGAAAAGATTAGGGCACTATTTGTAATAAGAGGAAGATAAGACCATACCACCCCAACATTCACGTCTCTCACATGAAGTAGTTAAGCATGTGAAGAGCATGATGGAGGGAATTGCTCATCTGCATCTAACATAACATGGAAAATCTCTCTTTGCAAATACCTGAAAATTAAACCCTGTGGTCTGTTATGTTTTAAATGCCTGCTAAATTCTGTACCTGCTAGATATTTAATCTTGCTTCTATATTTATCTCAAGATAACTCTTTATTGGTCTCGTACAAGCAGAAATTCAGCTCGTGGTTTTGTTACTGTTGTTTGGCAATATAAAGCAAAGCCAGGAGTGTTCTCGTACCTGACTAAAAATGGCAGCATGTAGGGGGTCAACCAGAAATCTTTCTCAGTCTTGCTCAAGTTTTTGATAGCTGCCTCTGACGGCACCAGGACAGTGACATTGGTTCCTGCTGGGATGCTGAAGAGAGATTTCTGTTGTCCAAAGCACAAAAATGAACAAATAAGACATGCCAGTGCCACATCTACACTGCAAAATATAATCAACAATCATCCCGCATATGTTCCAGCAGCACAGCAGGGTCTTCTGCGCGTGTCAGGCAAGTGCTGTTGACTATCAATGAATGCTACAGATGGTTTAGCCAAAACAGTTGACACTGTCTGCCCAGGGAAAACCTGCTGCTTTAAGCCCTACTTTTGTACTTCAATTATTCTTCAAACCCATTAAATCATACCCATAAATCCTTTCCGAACCCTCAACATCAGTTCTGGGTGAGGGACCAAGATTACTGCTGGCAAAAGCAACATATGCAGCAGGACCGGCAAGCTAAAGCTCAGTTAGATGCCATACATCATAGCATGCTTCCACAGACTTGCTGCAGTCTGTGGAGTGTCTCTGTTATTGCCACACTGGAGACCGGGAAGCAGCAACAAGAAAAGGAACAAACATACAGTCTAACTTCTCAAAGCACCTTCTGCTGAAAGAATGGCTATTACAATGCTACCCCTTTTTCTTTCCCTTCCATGATATTTTATGATGGCCAGAAGTTACAGATGGTACAACCACAGAAACTAAGCATAACACTACTCCAGCTTCCTCTGGTGCTAGAAACAAGGTCCCCACAGCACACTCATGACCCTCAATCTATCACAGAGTCCAGAGCTTTTCTACATGTCTGCTCTGTAACAATTCCTCCTTCACTGTTGTTCTCTTTTTCTCTAATGAAAATTATAATCGGAGTTGCTTTTACTCTAACAGCAGCATTCACAGAGACTTTACTTCTAGTGAACTTACCCACGTGGGTATCGCATGGCTGTTCTTACCTGAAGCCAGTTGGAGAAGCCTGCAAAGTGGGAGTTCCTGGCCAGCTCCTTCCAAACAGAAACAACAGAAGGGTTACCCCTGCTGAGCACTGGGGTTGCAGGGCCGGGAGACCCAGGGCGGGGGAAACTATTGCAGGCACCTTGTATCATGGGGAGGGATGGGCACTCCTAAAACCACACTCCAGCCATCAAAAAAATGCATTCCCAAATAAACGAACTCTTTTCAACTCATCTGCAATTGCTCGTGTTTACCAGGCACTGGGACTGAATCCACAATGGCCTTTGATATTTCTAATGACAGAAAACAGGCCTAGCAGCTCTGAACTGAAAAACTTCCCAAAAACTGGAAACATTACTTATTGCAGAGGACAGACAGGGATGAAAGCAGCTTAGAAATTATTGCGAATGGCTTCACGAACATGTTGGCCTTGGCACCAGTTCTGTCTCTTTGGCCTTGGGCAGACACACGAGCTGCGCTGTCAGGGTGGTGCTGGTAGGAGGAGTCAACTCAGGTAACAGAGAAAAGGAACATAAAAGCAGAGCCATTTCTCTCCAATCTCAAGAAGACCTCAGACATTCACTTTTTACTCACTTTTAGAACATCCCCATAGCACGTCATGCCATCCCCCATGTAGCCTTGAGGGCAAGCGCAGGATCTGTCTCCTCCTCCAAGGGGTACACACATAGCCTGCAAATACAAGGACAGGAGAAATTAGAGAGCAAACACGGGTTATGAAGTGTTACACCTACCTAGGAATTGAATTCTGGCCTCCCATCGCCTGGGCTAGAGGAGCACAGACAAGCACCTTCCTCCTGTTGCCTTTATGGTGGCACTAAATTTATACCTCATGCAGCAAAGCCTAGGTGATGGCTTTTGTTATGTGAACTCACAAAAGTCAGAGGATCTGCCTGGGTAAATCAGAGACCCAACCTTTATAACACCTCAGTGGCAAGCCAATAAGATGATCTAATGTAAATCCTTGCAATTATCTCGATGCCATGGATGAAAAAAACTCTGTCAGGTAGCAGAGGAACCTCCACTGTCATGCCAGCCTTGGGACAGCACTTCAGCTACTCACCAAGTCATGGCAGCCACCGTTGTCCATGAGGCATGGGTTGATTGCATCACAGTTGTGGCCATCGCCAGCATAACCCCTCTTGCAGACACACTTGCTCTGCAAGAAGGAGACATTTCAGTTTTACAGACCTATCAGTGTCCTCAGTTGCTGCCCAAAAAAAGCCTAAGGCAGCAAAACCTATTCGTAATTTATTTCCCCAAGTTTTCTTCCTGGTCCTTCAAGACCTGGAAATGCAGAGATATTTCTTTAGCAGGGCATCATCCTCTGACACAGCACAGAGGCTGGCTGATTACTCAAGTTCATTGATCCCTTGAACTGCTTGGCTCTGGGAGGGTCACTTGAAGATGATGGTTTCCATCTTTATTTCCAGCTTTTCAGGGAACGACACAGACTTAGTGAATGGCAGAAAGAGAAGAGGGGTTAATTTCAAAGCTTCCTGCTTTCAAGATAGCTAAGACAGCACTTGCACATCTCACCTCACTAAAATCTGCTAAAGATTCGGCACCTATTCTCGGCACATTGTCCAGTGCTCCCATGGCTCAGTGGGGACAAGCACCTTAAGAAGCAGCACCCTGAGAAGCCACCTCTCCTGCGTGCCTTCCTTTCATCTCAAGATGCCGGACCGCTGGCCCAGCTCCCTCCACGGGCTATCCGAACTGCTGCACATGCTTTTCTGTATATTTTAGCATTGCCCAGAGACAATGCTCTCATCTAGGAACCAGGGGGACATAGCAACCAATGCCTTACACCGAGCCATATTATAGAATGTAGTCTCTTCCCTTTGCTGCATAAAAGTTTCAGAGCAGAGCAGCAGCTTCAAATGCAGCAGTGCGTCTCACCTCATGCAAGCACACTGTGGGGTTTTAGCTGCAACCAGTGTTTCTGGCAGCAGACAAGCAGGCTTTGCTGCTGACCAGCCCAGTATTCTACCTCTGACAATTCCAGGCCATCTCAGAGCAGCTTAGGAAATGTTAAGGCCACCATCAGACTGCTTAGCATTGATCATACCTGGCCAGGACCGATATAAACGCAGTTGGCATTGATGTGACAGTTCCCTCTGCTCTCCAGCACGCAGTTGTCTATAGCCACGCAGGCCTTCCCGTCCCCAGTCCAGCCTGTGTTGCACTGGCAGGTGGCGGTCCCAGGGCCCGTACTGGTGCACACGGCCTCCAGGAGAAAGGAGAGAAAAAGAATCACACTCAGCAGAAGAGGGGAGGGAGCGCGGTGCAAATACAGCAACAGATCTCCTTCATCAGACTGTAAGGAGTTTCTGAATGACGAATTCTGATGCCAGCACTGGGGGTGGGGGGTGGAAGTATCTTTTCCAGAAAAGTCCTAGACAACTTCACAACAAAGTGATTCTGGAAACTTTTAGTGTTTTCAGAGGGGCAGACACTTGTGTCGAGGGTGACTCAGAACTCGCAGGGCATTCCCTACCAGCCTGTAAAGCTTTTCTATTACAGAAGAAACACTCCCTGAAGAGGAGGAGCACAATCTCCTGCCTAGACATGTAGGATGGAATCAACGATGGAGGGCAGATCTCTCTCAGGAAAGACCTACTTTGTAACCAGTGCCATCCTATTTCCTTCCACACAGCCCAATGCATTCCTCTTACTGAGGGGTCTCGGTTGTGATGAGGTCTGACCATTTGGCAGTCATTTCCATCACAAAGCACCACAGTTCTTTACTAAGGATAATAATGCACTTTTGAAAGGATAATAATGTAGTGTTGATGGTTACTAGAAATATGAGTTGGAGCTCACAGCTAAGCTACAGCCTGAACACAGCAACAGAGACACTAACACACATTAGAAGAGCTTGAGGGGAAAATCAATACATACCAAAAATTATCCATACAGCTAATCTCTATAGCTGCCAAAGTATCTGGTGCAAGCCAGCCAAACTCTCTCTGGGGTGTCGCATTTTAGCACCAACCCAAACGACTGGCATCCTTACGACACTGTGTCAAGGTACCTGTTATTCCACCCCATCTTACAGACAGGCAAAGTTAGCACACAAAACGTCTAACAGTCCCAGGAGTCCGGGATCCCTGCTCTGATTGATAGGAGCTGCTTCTCCACACTTCAACAATCTGACCCCACTTACATTCTGCGAACAGCCTCCTCGTTCTTGTTGACTGCACAGGTCAATGGGCTGGCAGGAAAACCCATCACCTTCATATCCATCCATGCAGATGCACCTTAAAAGTATAAGCACAAAAGGGACATGGATAAAGCAGCTCCTTCTAGAAGCCAGCAGAGAATAAAAAGGCAGTCTGAGCCTCTCAAGCAGGCAAGAACCTGACTGATTTCTAGCAGGCTGGCTGCATTTCTCAAACAATCCTGTGCACCAGGTCCACAGACGTACATACACAATTACAGGGCTGGCAGCCTCACAGCTGTTGCGTGCCTGTACAACGTCACTGTGCCCACCAGAATGTGTATGCCAGAAGGACTGACCTTGCTGTGTCATTGAGGCTGCAGACAGCGTTCTTGTGGCAGTACTGGGACAGGCCGCTTGGGCCACAGTTCCTGGATGTCTTGTCACAGAACTTCCCGGTATAGCCTTCCTTACAAGACCAGGACTGACACACACCGCCACTGCCAGGCCTGTTGTCACAGACACCATGGACACAGCCACAATCTGTCAAGTACATGGAGTAAGATCAGTAACTACAAAAAGTCCAGACTCCACCACAGTGACGGCATTTTGTAGATTCCCAACTTCCCTTCACAGCCTCTTGTGGCACTGCATGATCATCCCATTTGTTCTTCACAGAGGGATGTCTGCTGAGAGACATCCATCATAAAACCCAGCCAGGGAACAGATCCTGTGACCTCTTGGGTCTGTGTTTTTTATAGGGTGTAAGGACAGGCTCAAATTTAGGCTATCAAGCTCGAGGTCCTTGTCAACTGTCTTTTTTGTTGGTTAACAGCCGGCTGAACATGAGCCAGCAGTGTGCCCAGGTGGCCAATAAGGCCAACGGCATCCTGGCTTGTATCAGGAATAGTGTGGCCAGCAGGAGTAGGGAGGTGATCGTGCCCCTGTACTTGTCACTGGTGCGGCCACACCTCAAGTACTGTGTTCAGTTTTGGGCCCCTCACTACAAGAAGGACATTGAGGTTCTGGAGCATGTCCAGAGAAGAGCCAAGAGGCTGGTGAGGGGTCTAGAGAAGAAGTCTGATGAGGAGCAGGTGAGGGAACTGGGGCTGCTTAGTCCAGAGAAGAGGAGGCTGAGGGGAGACCTTATTGCTCTCTACAACTACCTGAAAGGAGGTTGTAGTGAGGCAGGTGTTGGTCTCTTCTCCCAAGTAACCAGCAATAGGACAAGAGGCAATGGCCTCAAGTTGTGTCGGGGGAGGTTTAGATTGGATATTAGGAAAAATTTCTTTACTGCAAGAGTGGTCAGGTATTGGAACAGGCTGCCCAGGGAAGCGGTGGGGTCACCATCCCTGGAGGTGTTCAAAAAACATGTAGATGTGACGCTTTGAGATATGGTTTAGTAGGCATGATGGTGTTGGGTTGACGGTTGGACTTGATGATCTTAGAGGTCTTTCCCAGCAGGAGAGATCTAAATCAAAGTCCCACACTTAAATTTGGCTGATGTTTCCAAGACCCCCAACACCACTGTCATATCAGCCATGTTTTCTCCACTGTTGTTTGAAGAGACACCCATGATGACATTTCTGTCACTTGTTTCGTGACACTGGTCTTGCCAGAAGGGAATCCAGGATACGTGAACCCACACTATATCCTTGCCCTACATTTTCTTCTAGTCTCTCTATCAGAATTACCAACCTTCGTCACAGTTCTCGCCATGCTTGTTTGGGTTTGAGCAGATGTGGCAGGCTATTCCTTTGAAACCTTCAAAGCATTGACAGTTGCCATTCCCTTGTATGCCATCGCTGCACTGGAAGGAAAACAAAAAGGAAACGAAAGTGACTGAAACTCAGGGAATCAAGGCAAAGACAGGGCATTAATATCTAGCAAAGGCACTTTGATACGTGCAGGAAAAAAAAGGACTCTGAAGAGTGGTTGTAGTAATACAAAATCCCACATGGCCAGAGCTGTGCCTAATAGCCACGACATGATTCACATTAGAGCTCAAGATAGAAAACCCACTGAGTACAGGCTGTTCTGCCTGTATTTTGTGCTGCCACCGCTGTGGGCTTAGCCCTGGCACACAAATTCTGAATTGTATTTATCTACAGCTACACTTTCTAACCACACGGTCTCAACTGCTCATTGCAACACAGTAGGATCTTTCACACTTACATTTCCTCGTCCATAGCACGGACTGGAAAATCCCCCTGGGCATGGCATGCAGTCTGGACCAAAGAATCCTTTGCAGCATCCAGGTTTCTGAAACAAAAGCAAAACTGGTAAGATATGATACAATTTAAGAAGAATTGCCTGGAGTCATCCTGCCCTCATAATTCTGAAATCCTGGTCCTCCTCTCTGCCATGGACTGAAATGGACTGTCTCATTTAGCATCTGTGCTTCTAGGAGATCTTGCACTTATATCATTTTTCAGTGATACCTCTCTTTCTGCTCACAGTCTATTCTTCTCAGAATAAATGACTATTTTCTGTTCTCTTTCCGACTTCAACCAATAGAGTCCATGTTTTCTACGAGCTTTTATTTCTTTAATAGTGCTGGCCCACTCACTCCTACTTTATCCTTGCTGAGGACTACGTTCCTTTGGAGGGATGTAACAGCCCTGGATTGCAGGCCTTGTCACGACTGACCAACGGAGGAACAATCACAAGGCAAACAATCAGCAGTATTTAATGAGACACCCACAAATCATTCCATATAGTTGGCACTGTGAGAGCTCAAGAGCTGCAGACAAACGTGAGGTCCATAAACTTGCTAAGAGCGTCTTTCCCGAACCATCTGACAATGTTTCATAAACAGGATGCAATCACTTCACAGCTTACAGCACTTTCCCTGTGCTCAGCTTCCTTTGGGAGAAATGCTAAAACCAGGGCACTCTTAGAGAAAATGTGCCACAGCTAACACTGCGCCATTTGTCTCGTAGCTTCCTCCAGCTTGGCTGGTTGAAACTAGTGTGCTTTATTTTATTTATTTATTGTACTCAGGTTTAACTGAGCTGCTTTCTAACATTTGCTGCAGGTTGGTACCCTGAGTTCTCTCTGTGTTTACCAAAGAGAAGGCGGGTAGCCAGTTCACGTGGCAGTCCTGGGGACAGCCCTTTGCGTGGGACAGCTTTCCTTCTGCTCCCATCCAGCCCTCTCTCAGCTCAAGGAGCCAGAGCTCTTCTTGATGAACAAGGAAGAGCAACACTGAGCGCCTTTCAGAGGGAATGTGGCCTTCCATCACACTCACCATAATGGTTTGATTGCAGTACCTGGCGCACCCCTTCTTCAGGACATTCAGGCCTTGTGGATCATGGATGTAGACACATTCTTTTGGAAAGAGCATCGGTTCCTGTACAAACAAAGCAAGTCATCACCACTGTAACCTTCCCCTCCGCTCTTTTTGCTGCAGGGAGCAACTATGCCTATCTCTGAGCTGAGGAAGTTCACCGAGGAGCCAAGGTGAACAAGATACCGTTATGGCATGCCTATCATGAAAGAAGGCACATGGCGGCTTCCTCTCATTCCCAGCAGTCTCCAAGTTTGAGCCAAGGTGCTGCCCTTTTGTTCTAATAATAGGGCCTGTGATAAGGGGGAGAGTGAGAGTAGGGGGAGAGGGGAGGGAGACAGGGAGAGGAAAGGAGGGAGAAGAGACAAGGGGGAGAAAAGGGCAGGGGTTGAAACAGAGGGTAAGAAAGAGGGGAGGAAAGTGAAAGGAGGGGGGGAAAGGCAGGACAAAGGGAGAGTATGGCAGTGGGGGAGTAAGAGAGAGAACGAGAGAGTGAAGGAGGGAAGGAAAAAGAGGGAGTGAGGTGAGACAGAGAGAGTGAGAGAGGGGAAAGGACTGCACATAACTTTGAAACAATGCTCAGTGACCTGTCATGGAGTTAGACACAGGCAGAAGTGGGCCCCAGATGATTCTGGCTTCACCTGCCTCAATCAGAGAGGAAAATGAGCAACTAGTGATTTTGCAGAGCTCTACTTCAGACAATTCATACTCAGACCGCATCAGCAAGTTCTCCTGAAAGTCAGATCTCCCAGAAGACGCCCAACAGTTAACAGCGGTGAACACCTCTCTGGCTTTCACAAGCAACATCTTGGGCCTGGCCTTCACATGGGGATTTCCTGGAACTTGCTGTTCTGCTAAACTCAGCGAGGGATAACTCAACCACCAGCACCCAGCCTCCTCCTCCTTACTCCACCTTCAACTAGTTCTGCTCATCTCTGAATCAACACGGAGCACAGGCCAAGAACAAATTGTTTCTCACCCTCTGCAGTGCAGAAAGCTTGTTGTGATTCTCTGGCTGTGATACAGGCAATGGTAGTACTGGGTGGTACTGGTGGAATCAGGCTTGGTTCTGGCAATCTGAAGGAGCTGGAAGACTCAGCATGCAAGCAAGGAAGCTCTGCCTGAGGCAGAGCAGAAGTGCTAAAAGCTGCAATTCTACAATTTCATTTAGCCCAGATTGTCTCATAGCTCTCTCCATTGACTCAGCAAACAGACTTCAGAATAAGAAACAGCACAGAGCAGTCAGTGGATGACAGTCTGGCATCATACAGCACAGATATGTGGAGAGTACGTATCCTCTAATAAGCCTCTCTATTGGTTGCTTTTCCTGCTCTGTATTTATTTGAAAGTGGCCTGGGTTAGAAACTGTCTATCAGTGTGTCTGCATGTCATTGTGCAAAGAAGAAATTACCAAAATAACCACAAATAATTACCATTTCTCTGCTGCCAGGTGGGCAAACACTGCTGTTGAGGGCCTCACAATCCACACAAGAGCCCTGTTAAGAAAACAAGAGGGAAAACCTTAATCTTCTCAAAGGAGCCCATTCCCCATGCCAGGAGCACTACAGAGCTACTGTTTCCAATATATAGCCAAACCACCACAACATGTATGAGAAAGATTCCTAGGAGGGAGTTCCCACACTCTGAAATGGGGTAAATTTATCACTTAAATAAAATGACTCCTTGTCTTGAGGAGTTGCTTGCACTTGACTACAAGATGGGGTCTGTCTCCACCCTTGTGAGCCTATCAGCTGCTAGACACAGCTATGCTGGAAAACACTTCAGGCATCCATGCAGCAGGCCTCACTAAATCAGCAAGTTATGTGGACCCTCTGGGCGCTTGGGATTAACTGTGTCTCTCCAAATCTGGTACCTCTTGCCTATTCAAAGCCCCATCTTCTTTCTTCAGTAACCTACCAATGATCAAACTGGGGAGCAAGCACCTAAAATAAGGTATACAAAACTGTTCAAGTGAGAATATCGCACAGCATTTGTAGTTCCCGCTTCCCGTCCAGACTACAGGACACCAATGCTGATAGCGATGGGAACAAAGCATTGTCAGCTGAGTTCTCAACTATGGTGTGAAGAAAGGCAAATATACTTCTAAATCAAAGGTAGGATGAGTGCAAGGAAAGAAAAGCAACCTACAAGGAACATTTGCTGATAGCCAGCAAAGCAGTGCCAAGTGCCGGCAGAAGAAACATTGATGGTGCTGGTACTGCCTAAGTTCACATCAGCGGACCTCTCCGAGAGAACACATTTCCCAAACTCAATTTACATAGCCTGCTATTATCCCTCCAGGTGAGTGTGGGGTCTACAGAAATGACTAGCGTGAGAATGGGAAAAGCTGACTTACTGTCACAATTTTATGTTGTTCTTCATTGCATCTGTGAGGTAAAATTGGAATTATTGAAGGAGGGATGAAGATGCCATCCAAGGTATGAATAATACCATTTGACGCCACAATGTCTCGCATGTTTAAGGCGATCCCTGATTCATCCATCAGAATTCTTCCCTGATGCAGAAACACAAATAATTTATCGGCATTTTAGCCCATTAGACTGTATCAGCAACATAAAGCCAATGCAGGAAACAGATGGTACACAACATCAAGTGCGATCACACAGATGGTCAAGCCTCTTAGTGGAGTCACAGGTTGGATAAGAAGCAAACTAATTCAATGATCTCATTTAAGTCTAGTTTTTTAAGCAGAGGAGAAAGCAGAGATGGGCTGAAACCACATTGTTTAGAACCACATCCAGGCTTTCTCCTAGCACAGGAGGGTTTGCCCAAAAGGGTTTTGATTCATACTTACATCTGCACTGATGTTGATGGTAAGTATCTGGTTAGCCATAGTAACAATGTGTGGCATCATTATCAGTTTCTCTACAGTCACCTGAAACGTCACACAAGGGGACAGTACAGTGAAAAAGTAGGGTCATTTCAGTAGAGCTTACAGAATTCTCCCATGATTCCCATGCCACTTAAAAAACCTGCTAACAGGGACTTGACTTTGATATTTACATTTCATGAAATACCTTAAACATAAAAAATGGGTCAGAGGGAAATCCAGAACTTTGTGCAAATTGTTTGCAATACCACAAACACAGCAGTGCCGGCAGTGGCAGCCATGGTTTTTATTCCTTGAGTACGTAACAGGCCAGCACAGCTGAAATCAAGTCTCACTAATAGTGTCTCTTACTAAGACAGCTGTGAGTAGGGTCACACTAATAAGGAGATTTTCCAGGACATATTCAATAAACAATGACAGCTCAGCCTGAAGCATAATAGAGAACATATTTTGACTTAATAAATAAGCTTATTTCTAGAGGTAGAAAAAATGTAAACTGCAGCTACTGTACTGAGAAACTTAATGATTTGAGAAGTAAGAAGTTCTGAGAACCAAGACAATTGTTACTGTTGTGTCCAACACATTATTAAAAAGTAGCTCAGTTTGTTACCACGTTGTTGTTCATCAGCTGCAAGTAAAACTACATTTTGCAGTTTTGTCCAAGTGCTGCTCCTTTTCTCTATTGCAATTAGGAAAACCACAAGGACTGACATTTACTTCGCAGTAAAGAATAGGAACAATATTGATATTTCTTAATGAAGGACAAGACGTTGTATCACAATGCTTGAGTATTCAATTCCTCCACAGGTTTTGTATCTAACTTTAAAAATTTCTCATTTATTGTGTAAGGGAAAACATCTTGTTGATGCGCTGTATTGATTTTATTTACCCTGCCATTATAGCATACAGCAATGTTGGTGCAAGAATTGGCAGGACCGGGTCAGATCACAGGCTCACTTGCACCAGTTCTCCGTCTCTAACTTCAGCCACTGGTGGAGCACAAGGAGAGAGGAAAAGGAGCAGGGAGCTTGGACCAATTCTTTGCTTGGCTCTAACTTTTATGTTGCTATTAGTGGTTTAAGGAAACCGTAGGCTGGAGAGTTCATAATTAAGGCACACTCCTAATTAATAGTTTAACAAATTAAAGTGATAACAAGAGAGTATTTGCCTGAAGCAAACTCTGGTGGCCAATACTTTCATTGTAAAGGCCATGTGACTAAGGAGTACCATCATGCCAGGAAACTCAGATTTTCACGATGGAGGTGCACTAGTTGCCATTTTCAGCAACCACTTCCATGGTAAATGTTTTGCCTCATCAGATCCTGAATCACATCTCTGCTTCTTCAAGGGAAGTCCAAGAAGTAACAGCTGAAGTCATGGACACTCCGACGTCTATGCCAAACACCACAGTGGATAACATGCTGACCCAAAGGACCCCAGTTATCTGAAATTACAGCTGCCTGCCTTACCGCTGCTGAAGTGTAGATATGATGTTTCACCAGTTCCTGAAGCTTATTTATGCCCTAAGAAAAGAAGAGAAAATAAGAATTAGATATCCTGTCAACGCGCAGGAATAAGACGAGGCAACTACTTTTCTGACAATGCTAATGCACTACAGCAGTGAATTCACTTAGCAAATAGGTTGCTTCATTTTCCCCTACCCAAAGCCAGGGTGAGGAAAGCAAGTCAAACATCAGATTTAAACAATCTGGCTAACCATATTTCTCATTGAAGGTTCCATCAGCACTCACTTCTCTCCCAAAGCCTTACAGAAACAGAGACATAGTTTAGCCATCTCCAGGAAGAACAACTTTCAGCAATGATCAGATACATTTTACAAGCCATTCCAGTACAGCCTAGTTAACTCAGGGTGTCTTAAAGTACTATGAGCTCTCACCTCAGTGAAAAGATAAATGAGCCTTCCATCTCTCAACTTATCCACACCATCATTGCTGGGTACAAATACAGTAAAGGGGCCTGGGCCATCCAGTATTGCAGGCAGGCCGCAGTTCTGCAAAAACAATAAAAGATTTCATCATGGATCTAGCATGAGTTAGTGAAGGGGGTCTGTCAGGAAAGGAGAGGAAACTCTAAGCAACCCACTTGAGGCAGAGCTATTGAAAAGCAAATGTATACAAGAGGCAATTGGACATGAAGGATAGGTACGTAATATAACAGAGGCATAAATGCCACCAAAACACAGCTTGGACAATGAAGCCACTGGTGTGAATGCAGGTGATGTGAACAAGGGAGTACTGGGCTAATGGTCCCTATATGCTTTAAGCACACAAATACATATACAGAGATTAAAACTATCTTTTTGACCGAAGAGGAGAAATAGAGAGTCAAGTCTATAATCACAATCGCAGTTAGTGAATTTTGTAAGCAACTAGCAGCCACAGAACCAAAAACAGGCAGGCCAAGATTGTTGCGAGCAATGCTAGAGCAGATCCAGATGACTCTGATGGAGGTAAAAGGAAAATCGGTCTGTCCCCAGTGAAAATACTAACTAAATGAATCCTGGGCAGCACCCTCAAGGTTTCATGACCTGAGGACTCCTTTTATTTAGAGATCTACACCCCAAAACCAGGTAGCTACAATCTAGCTTGGCATGGGCAGCCATGAAACCTTCACTGTTTGTCCTGACAGTGGTCAGGAATAAGCATGCTTTGGAGAACAAACTCTCCAGGGGAGAGGGGAAGGGGAAGTGGGGAAGCAGATGGGAAAAAGGCGTGTGTGCTTGCTGCTTGTGCCAGATCCCCATAGATGTGAAAACACCAATCTTTTCCATTACATTTGTTTATGTAAATACACAAAATAAGAAATGACACAGAAAAAAGCATCCAAAAAGAAAGCCAAACCACTAAGGCATATTTAAATGTTATTCAAAATTCCCATAAAACCAGCAGCAGACTTTGCAACAGCAGCAATGCCGCACCTTCCTGGGGCAGACACAAACATGCTTACCTCCAGTATAGTTTCAAATCTACTGAAGATCTCCATTGAAGCAAGGATCTCACCAATGGTTTTCTGCAAGAAGACACGAAGAGGTAAAAAATGGCTGGGGCTAAAGCGAGGTCTGAGCACACACTGGATTGCCCTTGGCCAGATTATGTTTGTGGTTTGCATGTAAAGATCTACAGGAGGCCATCATCCTCAAAGTCTTCAAACCCTCTTTATCGGCCACTTGACCTAGCAAGGACTGAGCCTGCAGTAACTTAGGCACAAATTCCTTTCCATGCACAACAAGCCAGATTTTCCAAGGTACCATGCACTTGAGCACCATTCTGTTTTCCTACTGCCATCTGCAGACTACATTACATGAAAAGGCAATTGCTTGCTATCATTAAAATAGAGGCACACTACTTCCAGCGATATACAAATCAGTTCTGGGCTGGTAGGCAAGGCAGTGGAGCCACTCTGTCATCTCAAATTTTCCTGTGCTTTGAGGACAAGAGTTCACTCTGCCACCTGTAAATGATCCCCAGTGCTGAGAAAATACAATACGTATACATGTTCCTGAAAACACAGAGGAAATTGATGCCTGCCTTTTTGTGACGTTGCCCATGAAGACAAAGGTAACAGAAGGAATGTCCTTTCAAGTATCAGAACTTATGAAGGGACTTGTCTGACCTTTACTTGCAGGAATCTGTGTGGGTTTTTGGCAGCAAGTGCTTCCCGTAGAACATGCAGAGGCACAGATCATTATTTCCAAGGCACACAGGTACAAAGGGATTTGATGCCAAAAATGACTGACGTGATCACTAGCCTTCACTGCAAAGCCAACATCACACGAGAAAGAAATGTCTGCAGGAGTCCAGAGAAAGACAGGCTCTGCAGAGAGCCTTCTTACTCTCCTGCCATCCCAGAGCAGCTGCAAACCCTTCCCTGCAGCTCCCTGAGCACACACACACATCCAGCTTCCCCTCTGGACCTCAAACACTCCTTTCTGGAAAACATCTTCATGCAGGTCATAAGACCGAGAGCACCTCAAGTGACAGCAGACTTAAACACCAGTGGTGGACGCAATCAAATCTGTATGAACACCTGAACTTGTACAATTGCTACACCATCCTCAAGCCACTTCAGCTGAGGAGCTACTAACACTCAAGACAACACTCCAGCTGCCTTTAAACACACAAAATACAACCATAATATTCCACAGTCTGACTGTTTTTACAGATCAATTACAACGGTATAAAGTAACTGCAAAATACTATCAAAATCCTACCAAATCCAAAAGCCTGTGTCATTCTATGAGTAATTTTTTTGCAAGGAGGCAGGAGGTAAGAGGGGTTGCTTTCTGCATACAGAAACAATATAAAAACGCTCAGGCACAGCAATGTAGTAGCTATAGTAAAAACTTCTCCCAGCTATCAGGGAAAAGGGCTTCGCAGAACTTGAAGCTGAAACTCCTGTCCAGTGTCTTAAATTCAAGACCTGACTTCAAAATGCAAAAGTCTAATGCTTATTTGTCCTCATTTAAATATTTTCAATGCAAAGACAACTTTTTGATTATGATTTCAAAATGCAGTACAGAGCAATTAAAGAACATCTTCATCTGATTTTTATGTGAAAAACAGTATTTATCCTGTAAGATATGTATTCTCTAAGATACAACTGAAAAAGAGCTCATTTGCTATGAAGGGAGTGATCTTGCTCATGACAGCAGAATTCTCTACTCATCAAGCACTGTAAAAGCATCATTGTGAGGTCTGTATCTGGCTTATGCAGTGCTGTTAGTTACTTTATACATATAAAGTATGCTGACATAATAGTGCCTAACAGGCCTTATCAGGAGCTGAAGAGAAAATAAATAGCCTTTTCCCTTTAAAAAAAGCCTCATTGATTCAGAAGTTTAATGATGAAAATAGATTATTTTTTTTTTTAAGTGTTTATTCTGCTGTCCCATAAAACAGAAGAAATAGGAATGTCTCTGTACCTGTGGGTTGCTGAGGTTGCCGGTGCTGGTTTTCTTCCTCAGGTTGTTAACGATATGCATGATCCCATTGGCTGCTGGTAGGTTCGACTGCAGAACATTGTACAGTTCCCCTGGCAGGTCTTGATATCGAAACGATTTGATGTATGTCTGGATAATAATAAAAGGTCATTTTCTTGTGGTATATCTGTGGTATCACAATAGATCTATAAACCATTATTCCCTTCAGTTCTCTCCACCTATGGATCAGCAAGGTGAAGGCACAACCGGAGTCACTCTGGAAAAACTTAAGGGGTGGCCTGGGTGTAAAACAAACATCCCATGAGTTTGGGTAATATTTTGATCCTGGAAGGATACTTTAAAGTCATTACAGAAAGAAGACCTAATCTGGGACGGTCAGCTCTAGAATTAAGTTTGTCCCAGCTCTGGACCACCAAAGGGTTCACTGACCATCAAGAAGCGGCTGCATCAGTCTGCCAACTACAAGAAGAGAAGCGCAGTGCCTCCTGGGCACCAGAGTACAGAATTTGGAGGCAATCCTGGAGCTACAGCTTTCATTGCAACTTTTATTGGCTTATAATGCCAATGAGGAGTCTTTGTAACAAAGCCAAACCAGTCAGGCTCACTGAATTATAAGGCACATATCTAGTCCTTCCATACTGTATTCAACCACGCACTGAAGCTGGGCGTGTGGAGGTGTTCCAAGGGTAACCTCCACACTAAGCATCAAGGTATTGGTGCTGCAGCCACAATCCAAGTTCAGGCAAGCACAACTTCCCCGTGCTTTTGATTTCACCACGTGCATTTCTTAAACTACCCCTCCCTGCCCTGAACTTCACAGTCCACATCACTGAGGATTCTGGCTGAAACAAAGGAAGGGGAGGGCAGACTTCCCAGATCAAAAGACTCCTGAATAAACAAACAGGAAAGAAATTTAAAAGGAGCATCGATAAGCTCAGTTTGGATTCCCCGGCTCCAAACAGTGCTTTGTCCTTTTGATACATGCAGGGTGCATGTATTACGACCTAGACCTCAAGGCCAAGGCTGGATCCTCAGAGAGGAAACATATGGCTCTCCCTTTGCCAGCTGTGAGCATGCACGCAGGAAAAGTGCAGGATGGAGAGAGAACAGGGGATGCTGGAAAATATGAGTCAAATGAAGAAGGGAAAAGGGAAAAAAAGCCTTCCATATCAGAATGTAATGTAAAAAACTCTTTGCTAGAATGACCAAGAAAAATAAAACAGAAAGAGAGGAAAAGCGAAACTTCAAGAGAAAATATTCAGCATGTGGCTGTGTCCAAGCACATAATCTCCAAGGAGAGATTCATTCTGTATGAAGAGACACTTTGTTGCCTCTTCCATGTAACCACGTGGATATTGTAGCTGCTAATGGTGTAGAGAAAAGGTCTCTTCTCCAGAATACACATTCAGATCAAGGAAAGACCATTCACAAGCATAGGAGTCAGATTCTGCCTAACTGGTTGTCTACAAATGGGAAAAGTGGTTGCTTGGGGTGTCTGGTCTTACATCACCTTGCTTTGGACTCCACAAAGGAGCTTGTTGTTCTGATCATAGGCAGGCTGATTAGAGAAAAAGGTTTTCTGGTTAAGAAAGCGCACCAAGGAAACCATGCTGAAGCTCCAGTTTGTCCTACATGAAAGCAGTGGTCCAGGACTTCAGTTCACGAGATCATTTACCTGGCTACTGAATGTTAGCTGATGTCCTGACAAGGTCCACACAGTTTTGGCTTTTACCATGTCTTCTAACAAATGCAGACCAGGAACAATGTGCATTCTGCACAAATGCTCAGCAGTGGTATCCTTTGGGGAATAAAGACCACATAAAGAAGATAAATTACATGTTCTTTCAAAAACCTCATTTACTGAAAGAGCCATAACATTATCTTTCTTCCAGTTAACACACACAGAGAAATTCTTAGCATAGAGGATTGAGCTCCCTTCTTCATTTTGGGTCACTGCAGTAGCACTGTGGCAAACCTTTTGCTTCTGTTTGTGTACACATTCAAACTCAGGGAGACTGATTAACCTGCAAGTGACTTTAGAGGAATCCTCTAGACAGAAACCCATTGGACTTGGACAATTTAAAACTTATCCTTGCATGCTCCAGATTATAAGACTTGCTGAAGATCCTCATACACAACCTTTGTTTATGTTGGACCACATAGATGGTCTAAGCTGCTGAATTTACATCTAGTTTCTTCCCTTCTTTTCTAGGCTTTCTATCACTGTTTTTTTTTTTAAGACAATCCCCTCTCAATACTGATTTAGGTAGAACTGATCCTTGTGGGAACAGGCAGACGAGATAACTGAGGAGCCTTTCCTCATGTATTTTCTATGAATCCAGAAGTTATCATGATGACCTAGGCACAGAGCCTGACTTGTGCGAGTGGAAACCTCTGCTCAACAAGGTAGTAGAAGACAGGTAATGTCCCTCAAATTGTAGGTTAGAAGCTGCTCCCTGGACTCTGTGTGAGGTACTGCTGCTGCACAGATAGCTTTGCTATCAAGCAAAGGAATGATATTTCTAAACCATCTGGAAATGTAATGTGGTTGGTCTGTCTGGATTATTTTTAAGACATTTACCTCCTCATGTCTGAGTGTTAGCTGCAAGCTAGCTGACACCTAAAACACAACAGACACCTTGCCTAGCATGCAATTAAAATCCCTACCATATGAGCTGCGTTTGTAGCGCATGTGTGCTCATTTTTAGCTCTGTCCTGAGAAAATGGTTTATATACCTTCTCATCCTAATGATGGATAGTCTGGTTGTGGGCTTAACTGTGCAAAAACTACTGCAAATGAACACAATTTAATTAAAAAAATAAATAAAATTGTTGAAGCCTAGAATTCTCAGACTCTTGTCCTGGCTCCCACAGCAGTTATCTCCAGCCCTGCCGGTCTTGCTGTCCCCATTAATAAAATGAACTCTTCCCAAGAAGTTGACCCCATACCCACATCTAGGACCGCAGACCCAAAATCCAATACTTTGATGCAAATCTCAGCCCCTCTTGAAAACCCCACCCTCAAGTAATGAAAAGCCACCTAACATTTTGAGAATAGTCACACACAGGAGGTACAAGATTTAAATGAAGAATGAGCAGAAAAACTTAAACTTCCTGACATTAAAAACAAATTCTGCCAATACTGAAGAGAGAGATAGAGGTTTTAAAAGTAATGCGAGGGATACAACATTCTCCATGAGACTGCAACTTAACCAGACAATGAAGAGTCTTCCCAAGAGATTGCTTCTATAAATACTGCCTTCCAAAGTTCCTCTCTCATGTGTCAATCAGTTTTTACAGGCTGCAGAACTCAGGCAGGAAAGAATCCTAAGACAGCAAAAATTTGCTAAACCCGAGAAAACTTACATTAAATTCTGTTCTATCAAGCATCAGAAGAAGGGATGGTACAAAGACTGTGAAAGGCCCATATTTAGTCAGCAACACTGAGCAACCAGAAGCTGTAAAGGAATGGCAACATAAAGTAGTTACTTGGCATATGGTTTAACTCCAGCAGTAATTATTCCTCTTGTTAACATCACAATTCAATCTACACATTTTTGGCCTGATGTGAGTAAGTAGTACTTGTTCACAAGAAACCAGAGGGAGCGTGATATTGCTATCACAGCCCAGCTTCATTGATATTAGTTTTAAGCACTTGCTCACCAGATTTCTGAAGGATTGCTGGTGACTTTGGTCCTCTTCAAATCACTGCTGAAATTTCCAGAATATTTGTAATAAGTTTGTTCCTACATGCTTAATACGTTATTCTTGAGCCAAGTATTCTCTGTCTTTCCTTTGAAACAACTAATTGCTGGGTGTCAATTAGGATTTATTGAGACAAAATACTTCTTGAGAAGCTGCTATGAACCAACAGTTGTCAGTCTTCACTCAATTGTCAATGGCCCATCAACAAAGTCCACATCAGCAAAGGTCATTAGGTTTTAAGTCCCACTGCACAGGAGTTAGGAACCCAGAGGTCTACATGCGGTTGCCCATAGCACAAATCATTATGGAAAACATATGCAAAACACGTGTGTCGGCAACACCAATATGTAGCAGGGAGGGGTACTCACAAAAGCTAAGCTGAGCTTTGAGCCCTGTCTCTATGCTCCTGTCAGGTTAGTGGAGATAGAGAAGACTGTTCAGAGGATGAATTGGAGAAGGTATCTAACATCAATATGCTTTGACATGAGCTAAAGGGTCCTCATTCTTTCCTTGCATTACAGTGAGGCAAAAATTAACCTTTGTGGATATCAATCCCCGCACTTGCAGCACACAGGTTCTTAAACAGTCTTCTATGCTTCGCAAAGCAATTCCTCACTCAGAAAGTACCATGGTGCATAGAATAAAGGTTTTCATCTCTACAGTAGCCACTCATACATGCATGCTGGCAAGGAGGCTGCTTAACAGATGTTCTACTAAGAAGAGGACCCATGGCACACCAGCCTGAAGCATCAATGCAGCGACAGTTGAAAGATCGGTGAGCCTTCAACATAGATGCTGCAGGTGGAGGCACACTGATGGTTTGATACAAATGGGTCTGAATCGCACCTCCAAGGCACGTTTTCCTTCTGCAGATATTCACTAGGCCTGTCAAACACCTAATACTCCTCCGCAGTGCTCTTTGCAACAGTCTCCTCAATTCACAATCCAGAACTGGTAATATGAGGTCAGAGATGTGATGTGTTTAATTTTGCAGCCCCTGGTCATACACTGTGAAACAGATCTATTATGCTGAAAGGCATTTAGCCTTTTCTGACACACTTTTGTCCCCACATTTGCTCCATTCCCCAAACAAATTCAAAAGACATTTACCAAACATTTTCTTGGCGACGTTTAATTTCCTAATATACCTTCCTCGCGAATTATGATGATTTATCTCACTCAAGAGATCTTTATAGCAACTTCTCCCATCTCCAATCTCCCCTTCTTTACAGACGCAGCTAAGAGACAGGAATGAAACATAACAAACCATTATAAAACAGTTTGCAACACATTCAACAAATGTGAGTAGAACAAAACGTCAATATCCACACTTGAAAGACAAATCCCAGCTTTAAGGTGTAGGTAAGAGCTTAGTAACTTCTGCCCAAACTAAGTGACAGGAAAAAAAGATGCACACTTCTGGAGTGCAAGCAAATTTGACCTACCCAAAGACAATAAAGATGCTTTCTCAGATACAATCAACATAAGGATTGTCTGCTCTAGAATTCAGGGTACAGATAGCCAAAATACATTTATCGACACCTTTCTAACTAGATATTCAGTGAGTACCACTCATTACAGCATCTGAAAATTTGAGTCAATGCATAAAAACCACAGGCTAAGTGCAAATCTAGCTAACAGCTCCTGTGTAACCCTTCAGCTTCAGTGACAAGTGCCAGCTCAAGCACATCAGTTAGCTACAGTTCGTCTCAGACTTAATGAGGGCTGCAGACAGGCTAATGTCTTTTCCAGAGAAGCTTATCTACATGTGAAAATCTCCGTCCTGATTCACACGGATTTATGGTCATTACTCAGTGACTACTTAAGATCACTGGCCGATAACCATGTTTTTTCCCGTTTGGGTTTTGTCCAAGTATCGGCTCTGCTCTTTCTGTTTCAGGGATGCAAAGACATGCGACGGGAGGAATTTGACATTACTCCAGCCTCAGAGGGCTCAGTGCCAGCTGCTGGGGAACACATATACTAAGGCAGGGACTGTGCTGAACACCGCGTCCTGGACTTTGCTAGCATATCTTCAGAAAGGGAAGCCACTGTGTTTCAGTTTTAGTAGCACTGGAGAAGGAAGGGTCACAGAGATAGGACTGCTTTTTCCCTCTTCAGTCTCTCAGAGAAGCTTCGCCTTTTCTCAATAACACACAAAATCCTCGGTGAAGCTTTCTCTGGTGTTTGGGAGGCCATTATGCAAAAATGGTCCTAGATTTGGCAATAACTCCCATCTAAGGGGCATCAACTTCTAGGTGTTTTGCTCCAGAGGACTAAATGAAGTCTAGTGTTTCCTTCCGCCACTTCCCCCTTCCCTGTCAATCTGCAACTCTAACTCTTTCCTTGCTTGCAGGCCTGAGTGGGAGGAGAGCCACAGACCTAGCCCTTAGAATCAAATCTGGACAAATGTGAGCAAAGAAGTGTCACACATCTCCCTTTTAACGATTGATTATTAACTGATAATACCCTCCTACTACCACCAGCTTGGGGAGCTACATCTTCAATTCATGTCACAGAACACTCTGCTGCCCCAGATTTAAAGCATCTCATGACCCACATGCCAAAATTTATGACAACTGATGTAAGACTCTCTACTTTCAATGGGCTTGTTACAAACAGGCTCTTCTTACATGGTGACTCTGGCCCACTCAGTTAGCTCTCAGTTTCTTCAAAATTCAGATCATCCAAATTCAGTTTCCATTCTAGCTACAGAATAAGCTTCTTTAATAGTAATTTTTAAACTTGCTTACCTAGGATTCCCCTGGGCATTAATTTCACATGTGGAAGTCACGTCACAAAAGTACTGCCGACATTCATTGGGAAATACAGAACACTCTGATGAAGGAGTTCTCCTACTCATCCCAGGCTTGCAAACACAAGATGCCTAAGGGAAGGCAACACAGTGCTTATAGAGCTGCATTCATCACCTTTTACCCAGTAAGTTACCCTTCAGAAGAGCTGTCTGGTTTCCCCTTGCAAAAATCTAAGTTGAGGAGAGCAGATTTGACAAACACACTGGCGAGCTCATCTGAAGAACTCCTCACCTGGCCATTTTTCAGACCCTTACAGGTTGCGGATGTGCTGTTATTGCCCCTACCTCTCCTGGACGTCTGTAAACACAAATTGTAGAGTTTTCTGGGCAGCCTCCGTTGCTGTCAACACAAGGGTTTATGGGCTGGCAAATCTTCCCATCTCCTTGAAATCCTTCTTTGCAGGCACACTGATACTTCTGTGGCCCGAGAACCTTACATTCAGCGAAGGGGGAGCACGGAGAAGAAGCACAAGGATCCTGAGCTGCAAACAGAAAGATGAGAGGTAAAAATAACCTAATTTCTGTTTTCAAAACAGCACTTACTGTGGCACAGCAGAGTGCCAAAGGCCTGGAAATAATGGAGGATAAGGAATTTATTCTGTTAAACTTCTAAAATCTCCCAGGAAAATAAAATAATTTCAGACAGCAGACATTTTGGGTTTTTTAATCTGAGGAATTTGGATGACACATTCCTCATGTTACTTCAGTAACACAAATGTGAGTGACAGAGGATGCTTGGATTTCCTTCTGAATTTCCAATATATCTGGGGATATCTGAAACTGGAGTTTGGTCAGCAAAAACTGCAAACAGCCAGTGAAAACAGAGATATCCATTGCTAGCTAATCACATGCATCTTACTGACTTCCTTTTAACAAAACAAGTTCACAAACTTAAATTCTAAATTAGCGAAGAAACCTTCTAATCACACGCCTTACTATTTAAACTGGTACAGACTTACTAATATCCCGCTGCCACAGTTATTCAGTACATACCTATAAGTGAGTGCTAGATGGAACCTGCAACTCTAATTTCTTGCTTTCAGGACCAAGCAAGAGGAGAGCCAAAAACTTAGCCCTTAGTCTTAAAAGGGGTCACGGGGAAGTTTCTCACCTTGGCAAGTGGTCCCACTTTTTGTGTAGCCCAGCTTGCAGTCACACAGCGCTGTCCCATCCCTTACCACACATTCGCTCGTGGCCTCACAAGTCATGCCTTTGCAAAGGGGAAGCTCTGGAATCACATATAAAAGAGTTTCCCTTTAAGCATGCAGGGCACTGCTGGAAAATACAACTTACCTTACAAAATACCTGGAAATGAAGGCAAATGTGGTTTCTGGAGGCCCCCAAGCTGGCACAAAAGCCAAGGTATATAAGCAGTGCTGACAGCTCTGAATCTTAGAGACAAGAAAGGATCTATCTGGTTTCCAGAGAAAGAACAGAGGCACAAAGAGATGCTACATCTTGGCCACTCCAGAGTGGGGAGCAGACAAGCTTCTCCCTCTGTCTAGCTCTCCAGTGCTCAGATCACCTTCCCTCTACATTCCCAAATTATTCATTATCCCCCAGCAACTTTTGGAACACATGCATCCAAGCCCATATCATAGTTTAGCTCTAGCAGCCCCTTGGCAGCTACCAATGTATTTACCTTGGTCACACCTGGGGCCAGTGTAGCCTCCATAGCATGCGCAGCTTCCATTCCCAGTGACGCCGCTGTTGCATTCCCCGTGCACACAGTCACACACTGCAAGGGAAGTCCAGACAAACCTCACCTTCAGCTACAAGGCAGTGCACAGGGCTCCAGGCATACACTGGCCAACTGCTCTGGGACTTGGCACCATGATTTCCCACTAATAATCCACAGCAAATGTAATTCCTTCTAAAAAAAAGGCCACGCCAGTCAGAGCTTAGAGAGGACAAACAGCTTGTCCTTGGTTCAAGAGGACAAAGTACTGCCCTGTAAGAGTAGCACTGAATGCAAAATCTAGACCAGCTTCCCACTCCTCTAAGTCTCCTGCAGCCCATGTGGAAGGAGGTAGTGTTATGAGAGCCTACCACACCTGTGATCCCAGCATTGGTATCATTGTGTGAGGACAACCACCAAGATCACACCTCTCTCACCTGTGTGGATACAAGGGAAGCAGGAGCTGGACAAAAAGGGCTCCTTTAACAGGCAGGCTGCACTGGTCATAAATCGCTTCCAAAAATGCCATACATGAGAAGCAGCACTGTGTGTATTGATTTTGTAGGGAGGGCAACAAAGAAGAACCTGGGAGACAAGTGGGGCAGTTACAGAAGTCTGGAAAACAGTTTGGAATTGAGTGTGGGTCACTTCAGGGATGTAGGTAACCGCCTGGCTAGAAAGAGAGGGGAAACTAGGAGAGCCCTGGTAAGGGGAGAGAGAGATTTACAATAGGAAAAATGGACTAATTTGTCATTCAATCATTTGTCTAATGTGACAGTGGAGAAGGGCACAAAGACAAAATGCCAAGATATCTGCTATCAAACACTGCCAGCTGGCATCCCTTCCTCCTCTCCAGCACCCTTCTTCACTCAACCTTCCCCTCCTCTTTCCTTGCTCTCAGGTATTTTTGTGGAGGTTTCACCTGAATTACTCATCCTTACCTGACTCACAGTCTGGGCCAAAACGATTTTCGTCTCGACAATCCTGGCAGGCAAAACCACTGTATTGCTCCTAGAAGAGGCCCAGAATGTCCCAGATGTTATTTTTCTGTATCATTACATTGTTCCACACATTGTTATAGTTCAAAGTCTCTCCCCATCTCTGATTTTCTGTGACAGCTGAAGCAACACAGTGAAGAAAACTGGTCTGTTCAGTGCTCTAGTAGTATCAACCAGTCCCCACAGCAGAGAAGATCACAGCGCAAGCTAACACACAGAGGGCATGCAAAATGCCACCAAAACTCTGGTGGGCATTGAGGAAACAATGTCCTGATCACAGACAAACAGGAATGCACCAGCTGGCTTCTGATACCTGCCTGAAAAAGGAATTTGGAATTCACTAATGCCAATGGGACTTTTGACATTGATTTTACAGGGTTTGAGGAACTTTAGCATGTATTTTCATTGATCTAAGGTGTCTTTGAGTTAAGTCCAAAAGCAACTTTCTCAAAGAAGGGCCCAAGAAGTAGGATTTTAGCTTATTCCTTCACAGTGCTATTAATGAAGGATACTGTAAAAGCATAGAGTTCACAAGAGAAAGTTTCATGTGTGATACCTATCCATTAAGCTAAAGATTTTAGAAACACCGCTCTATATGATTCAAATGCCCAGGAATTGTTTATGCCTTTGTTGTACTGAGTCTGGAGCTGTAAATTAAAAAAGAAACATCTGCCCTAAATTCCCTTTTTGGTCTCTCTTGCTTTTCCTGAGAGGGAGGATCTGCCTGCCAAGGTGCAGAACAGATTCATTTAGGAATTATATTGTGCAAGTCTGGAAAAGGTGCAGCTCATTAAGAGCCAAGTGTATCAGGGTTTCTCGCAGCCACAGACAGACACTGATTATTTCAACTGATCAGAGGGTTAAATCCACGCAATTCTTTCTTCATTTCTTCCTAGAGATCCTTCACAACTCCATGCCCTCACCAAGAGTGCCTTAGTGCTATTGCCAACCACATCAATCCTCCAGGAAAACCACAGATGCTGATGCTGGAATGAAAGAAGCTGTAAATGACTTTCCAGGCAGAAGGTCAGCCTTCATCCAAGGCATCTGCACAGACACTGTACAACTCCCTCTGACAAAAGCACATCACCCTCAGAATAAATTATGCACTGACCTTGCAGATGCAGGTCCCATTTTGCTGTATACCATCCAAGCATGTCCCATGACCACTGCAGGGATTTTCAGAGCCACCTGGACACTCTAGCAGGCAAGAGACAGGCCAGACAAGATTAGATTGAACAACCAGCACTGCATCCCCCTTCCCATCTCCTCCTCCCCCAAGCAATCCAGCTGTGCAAAAGCAATGGCCTCTTCACCAGCAAAGTCTCTTCCTGCTTATCTAATACACCTAACATTGGCCCAAAACTGGTGAATATGGCCAGAACTGGCACCAAGGAGCAATGTGGCTGCTAGCTAGCAATGCCTTTTATTCCCTGACTTCATGAAGAGCTGGGAATGTGCTCAGACAAACACAGTCCACACATCTTTGGAGTGGGGTGCCTCCAAATTCTGGGAACTATTTCTGAAAGTTTTAGATGTGTGATTCCTCTGACGAAGATGATGGCTTATTCAAACCACTCCTGTGTGAAAACAGGCTCAAGCTCTCAAATGACCTATTTTCTGCAGGAATGGAGCATGTCATTCCATATTCCAGCAATCGGTCAATCATATGAGAAATGTTTAGCTTAGCAGGTCTTGCTTTTGGATTTTTGAGACAAGACAAAACAAATTCTCATCGATTCGCATAAACCTGAGTGGGAGCTTTGAGATGGTTATTTTCACCTTGGGTTGGAATTGCTAAGTATTTTCTGTGGCTGACTGGCTGACTAACCCCAGACTATACAGGGGCACACGTGGCACACGCACTGCAGACTAGAGGGACATCAGAAAGAAGTATCTTCCTCTTCCTTTGGAAACTTTCTTAAAGAGGAACAAAAACATCCCTTTCCAAAAGCTTATTTTTAAAGAAGGGACAAAAGGAAGTTCCACCAAAGGAGGTTATGTTATGTGTTAAATGTAAGAGGATTTAACTCATCTGAAGCAGAGATTCCTTCCCCATTGTATTCTGAACCTCCCAGACAGTGAACACCTTGTGAGTGTTCGAGGAATAACAAAAATCAACCACCTCAATGCATACTCAATGCCTCCTATTAAAACTGGTTTGACTTATTCAACAGTTAGAGAGTGTCGTAAGAAGATGAAAAACTCACCATAGCACTCTGTACCCCAGAATCCTGGACAGCACTTTTTCTCCTCAATTTCCTTCTTACACATGTGATGGCACCCTGGCTGGGAAAGGGTGTTTTCTCCTAACTTGACAGTGAATCTTAAAAAGAACAGTCCAAGGTTCATGATTACAACACAAAAATGCCACCCGCCCGTTGGAGGGTTTCTAAGCAATCACACTGCAGCACACTGAACTCTGCATGGAAGGGCAGGCACTCATTTCCTTCACCATACATGCATACAAGAGTTAGCACTTGGGTTATGTCTTCTCTAAGGATGCCCATTAATTTGAGCCTCAAAGATTGCTTACAAGAAATCTGCCAGGGACTGGACAAGAGGCAGGACCTTGGGAAGTCTGAGGGCACCCGGACAGAAACTTAGATGCTGGGGGGTTAGACAGCATAGAAACAAAGTTAGGATCTCCAGGGTGACTCAACTGTTGACTTCACAGATAAAATAACCTTGAGAGAACAAAGTCTCCTTGCAGGACTTCTCCCTTTATGTCTTGCACTCAATATTTCAGACTGGGATGCTGGAAATTTGGATTTAATAGCTGTGTTATTCACAGATTCTCTATGCAATCTTGGACAGATCCCTTAAATCCTGAAAAGAAGCATCATCTTTTCAACCCTTCATCCATCATCTCTACACACAAGGTAAGCCCTTGATGGCAGTGTCTCTTGTTCTGCACATATGCAGTACAGAACTACTCTTGGGTCTGTCCAGCAATGACCACAAGACCAGATAACACTCAGAAAAGCTGCATACAGTCACATTATTCTTACACGTCGTTTTATTTTTGGCACAACATCCTTCCCAAAAGGAACCTGGAAATTGTCTCAATAGCACTGCCACTTTGGCTTCAATCTGACTAGTATGTGTGTCTGTGCAAAAACTGCTATAAACCGCAAAACTGCTACAGCTATTTTTAAAGTATTTCAACAGAACAGCAAATCACAGAAAACAGTAGACAATAGAGCTATATATTAACTGTTAACATTCACTACTGAATAGATATGCAAACAATAATCTATAGTGTCTCATTTTTTTAAAAACTTCCTGGTAAATTCAGTTTTCCTTCACCCTTTTCCTATTAGAGCCAAGCTCAACAGAATAAGAGCAAGGAACTCATGAACAAGCAATTGTCATAAAGCAAAGTAGGAAGGTAAAAAGTTCAGAGGATTATTGCTGGAAACTGGGAGTATATACAAGGGAAACTATCATTCTATTATTTTTTTTAATAACCCACTACAGGATTCTGGGTCTGAAACAGGTTTCTATGCTAGACAGACTTCTGTTAAGTTGCTACAGCAGGATTAGCAAACTCTGGCTGTTTACCGCATGTTAGAGGTAATTCTCATGTAATTTGTTCTGTGTATATAGAACCCTATGCCCAGCAAAAAGTCCATGGTGTTTGCAAGGAGACATAGCCAACAATAATAGGGGGCATAAATCCATTTTTATGCATCTGAAAACAAAACTCCTTGGATCTTTAGAGCTCAGAAAACACAGGTATACTCTCCTGAAGGTACAGACACTAATCCTTGCATAGCAGGACTGCACAAAAACCTTAACATGGTTAGGAAATAGGCCTTACCTGCAGCCCCTCACTCCTAATCCTTGGGTGGTCTTTAACCAGCCTCTTGGACACAATATTTTAGGCGCTGCAGCACAAGCCGTACACGCTGTATTCAAGGTAAACATCATCTTGATATTGCATTGCATGGATTTTAACTTAAAAAGAAAAAAATAGAATGGAAATAAGACCAAAATTAAATTATTACCCTAGCCACTTGTCTTGCCATCCTTTAATATCTTCTTCAACTTTGCACCATTCTTTAGATACCACTGGGGAGGGCAGTGACGAGCGCAGCTGCTGGGAGGTACACCACACACTTGCATAGGCTAAACTGTCACATCATGCCGCTGCATGCTGCTCTGCTTGGATCTCAGCTAGAAGGCAATAGGGCAGATCACAGCTATCTTATCTTTCCCATGCGCCTCACTGCAAAAATTCTAACAATTTCTAAAATAATCATAACCATGCACTGTTAATTTAAGCTGATCTTTTGCAAACACGTAGCAGTGGTATGTGAGGACAAGCCCTAAACTAATAACCGTTGCCAGAAGACACTAAGCTAAAATGCAACGCAGTGTTTCTGTTTTCCATGCCATTGATATGATCCAGTTCATTGGTGGTTTCATTGCTGCTTCATGGGTCTGAAGCACTGAATGCATCAGGTCAGTCTATTCCCCAGAGCCCAGGAGCTGCTCACACAAATATTTCTCATGGCAATTGTCTTTAAGAAGGTGCAGGGGCCAGCGGGGTGGACTAAAAGGAAAGGTGCTCTGCACCTCTCTGACCACCTGGATGGTGCCCTGATGCTTTATCCTAGGTGAGAAGGACCCCATAAAGACTGGAAAGAAGATTAGGTAGGAGACCTGGATACTTCACATGGCTTGTGATAAATTCAGCATGAGTCCTTCCACCCAACCAGAACAACTTTAGGGGTTCAGGCTTCCTCACAGGGCTTTTCTGTACCCCTGTACCCACCAACTCTGCTTCTCTAAACGAAACACAGCCAGAGCAGATGAAAAACATACAGCCTCAGACATCATATGCCAGCTTGTCCTTAAAGCTCATGATTTTACCCCAAAAGGGTTTCCTTGTATTCCTAAACTCCTGGAGTCGGGCCACTGCATGGAAACCTCATTGCTCATTTTAAAAAGAGACAATGTTTGCCACTGATGATGGCAGAGAAAAGCTGGGAAGCACGAGCTGTATTTGCCCCAAAAGGTCACTGACTGGAAAAAAACCCCTCACCTCATCTCAACTGTACCTCTACAGGCACTGTATTTTCTAAAAATAAAAAACATTAGATTAAATTTTGGGAGGAGACATTGATCTGGGATTTTTTAAGCCAATCCTGAACAATGCTGTTAATGCAGCAGCTCTCCTGTGCCCAGAACTCCCTGTTTTGGATTCCCATCAGCAATCTCAGCTTTGCTTCCTCTGAACTTAAGCCTAAATGCATATGTTTGCCTCAAGGCAAGGGAGGAAGCCCACGGCTTCCCATCAGCTACCAACAGCTCAGGAAGGCCCTCCCAGATGACAGACAGCAGACCCTGTCAGGAAAATCTCCTGAGAGATAACCCTCAAGTCCCAGGTCTGCAGGGACATCTCCATGGAACGGTTTCCTGAGCCACACCCATGTTCCCTCTGCCTGGAGTTGTTGAGCTTTTTCTCATCTTCATGGATCCATCTTCTGCAGCCACCCATGCAAAAATGTTGCCCAATGAAGAAAGTGATTCCTGTGTGTGGTGGCTGCTCATATAGATACTCATTTCTAGTTGTGCATCTGGGACTTTCCTTACCACACAGTAACCTCCACTTCCTTTGGTGGTAGAATCCCCAAAGAATCTGTTACGTCAAGAACTCCCTTCCTTGCGTTATGAACAGCTCAAAACCAATCTGAGATCCACCAAATCTACCTATCCACATCGCGTGAGCACCAGCTTTACTAAGTTAACCAGCAGGACAGAGATCAGCTTTGCTGTTCTTTATGTTTCCACCCCACTTGCACACAGTGCAGTCAAGAGATTTCCCCTTTTTCATGGAGCAAAACAGAGAAGACAGCAAATATGGACAGATAAATGAGGTGCTACCTCTGGAGTACTCTGTCTCAAAAGATCAGCAGTGCCATTGATGAGGTAGGGAAGAAGCTCATCCAACCAGCTGATTCAAGTACAAATCAGGACTCCAGATTAAAACTGGGCTTTTGAAAGGAGTCAGTTGAAGCCAGGCACTCAGTTCTGACAGAACGGTACATCTCCTGCCTTTCTAGTCCCACCACACCCCAGTTTTAACCTTCACTGAGAGAATGCCTCAGAAAGAGGAACGGGAAGACGCCCAAGTAAGAAACAAAGAGGTGTACACCTTCCCATGAGTTACGATGTTAACGTTCTCAGAATTACCCCACAAACCTTTACCAGGTGTCTGAGCCACCCTATCTGTATGAAAAAGACCACACAAACAGTAGAGCACAAAACACTGCATTAAAATTCTCCAGTCTTCTATTTCATCTTTTCTTCCAGGCATCAAGAGTTGGCTGTCAGACACACTTGGGCCTTTCTCTGTCATGTTGGTGGAGGAAAACACAATTATTCACACATTATTCCATTTTCGTTCTCTTTCCTTTATCAATGCGGCTCCATGTCTAAATGGGGATGGACACTGGGAGAGGAGAAGGGCTGTCGCTCCTCCCTGTTGGCATCTTTAATTACTTGCAGGCCTCTAAGACAAGACAGTAAGTGTGGAAGCACCCCTACCCTACCTTCCCAGGACACTTCATGAGCTTTAGGCAAGCTTTCCAGTAAGATCTTCCCCTTTTTATAAGGAGATACGCTTGTGTCAGCAGCAGCAGGCAGGAGGAAAGAGGAAGAAAACAGCTGTGTGGAAAATAATAAAAAAAAAATTCCCTTCTTTTTCAGTGACAGAACTGATGAAGCAGTCATTTTGTGGAGTGTTTTGCTTCTTAGCAAAGCAGAATAGGGAATCAAACATGTGCAACAGTTTGGATAATCGAATTTTGGAGAGGATGAAAGATAGCCAGGAGTTTGAGTCAGAGGTGGCTCCTGGGGCACAGCCTCATGGAAAACAATGACGCGCCACTCCCTTGGGCTCATCTGTGACCACTGTTTCTAAGTTTGAAGCTGCTAGAGAGGAAGCAGTAAGAGGGAATGTCTGCCCCTGTGATACAGAATGCTGCCTGGTAGGCTGAGAGTCAGTGAGGTGCATGGTGGCTACACCAGTGAAAAGGGGTGAAAACAGTCACTGTTCTGATCAGATGATGTTATAAGCCTGGACTGTATCACACTTTGGGTACAAGGCAACAGAAAAGGAAGACTGGTGCTCTCAAACAGCTCCAAAACTAAAGGAGGCTTTGAAAGCAGTAGACATCTAGCTTTAGCTGAAAGACGTTAAGAGCCAGTGTCTGTCCACTCTGAGCTTTGTCTTGCCAGGGCTGGACTGTGCTCTCTCCCTGCACTCAGACACATGCATGTGCATGGGCAGCCACTGCCCTCTGTGCTTCACCGAGACACAGCTGAGCTTCTGGGTGCTGCAGCGTTTCCTTCTCTCCTCTCACTCTGACACAGATGATGTCCCTTACTGCTCAAGTGCTCATGTTTCTCTCATTCCACCTCAAGAGAATAAGCTGGGGAGGTTTTTTTAAGGGCTAGTTTCTTTCCCCTAATTTTCGCCCTTTATCTTTTCCTCCCAAACTGTAACACAAATCCTTCTGGAAGGAAGAAAGAAAAACACATTTGGACGTCAGTGTTCAGCTCCAACAATCCTGGGAGCCAGTTCTGGAAACAGTCACTATCTAATGAATCACCAAGTTTCCAGTGCATTTGCCCTTTACAAAACAGAGCTGTAGACACATGCTTGAGTCATTATAGTCATGCACCTCCCCAAGAAGTTCTCAAGAACACTTTAGCTGAACAGACCAGCAGCTCCTGGACACACAAACCCTTTGCATTTGTCCAAGGAAGACACTTTTCGGCACGAGAATGAACAATCAAGTTGAGAGATCACATAACACAAGGTGTACTGTTGCCCTGGGTGTCTCCCACCACCTCAGCTGCAGAGTACTGGAGACAGGGATGCAGAGAGCACTCCCTTTATGTCCCACCTGCCTCCATTCCTCCTCCAGCACAGCCTGGGACTTGCCTCCTGCCAGCAGAAAAATTCCGTGTTTCTCATCTGTGGCATCTTCCCCAGCCCATACCAAGAGGTATGCAGGCTAACAGATTTGCAGTCATATTCAAGCCATCAAATCAAAGCCCTGAGGTAACATCACTGAAAAAAAGCTAGAACAAAATCTCTCTTTTCTCTCTTGATGGCCCCCGCAAGCCAACAGAGGCCCCTTGTGGAATCACAGCACTTCTACTGCAATCAAATCCTATGGCCATCGTAAACTATTGGAGAAGACTTCCTTAGGCGCTTATTTTTTCTTACCTCCTGTTACAGCCTTTCAAATGTTTCTACTCTTCTGCCAAAAACCTCGTTGGAAAAATCTCTAAAAGGGGGGTCACTTTTCCTGGATTAAATACACTGCTCCAGGGATGATTCAAAACGTTTCACTTCTCTGTGAGTGGCTACTTGTTACCTGATATTTTAACCATGTCATGCCAAGCCGGACACCCCAGCAATTACGGAAATCAACACAGTGTCTCAAAGTCAAGAGACCAAAATTTCCACTTACACCAGCTGAAGATGTGAGTCCATGCCTCTGAATCCACTACTATACTGGAACCCTGTGCCTAGAACCCATGCCTCCAG